AACAAACAATAAGCAAACACACAAACAAACAAACAAATAATGGCTTCCATTTCATTCGGTAACATATTTTAATCAAGCAATCGATCAATTACAGATATTCGGTTATTGATTTTAACAATTGTTTCGAGACACATAGCAAAATTTAATGATGAACTTCACTAAAAATCAACATGTTTCTGAAAATTGATTTGTGGCAAGTTGGAACAACAAAATATCCAAAATACTAAAATTATAATTTTCTGAGTAATTCCTTTTTATTTCGGAGCGCCAGAGGAACAAAAAGGGGTATCTAAAAATTTGTATACGATAGACATTATGTCACCCTACTATTCTGCAAATTTTATAAATCAATTGTTGAAAACATATTTCTTTTCAATGTCTATTCTAAAGTATTAAAAAATGTATATGATTCTATTGCCTCTTTTTTGGAATTGACCAAATATTGCAGTCATACTTTCCTTTACTTTCCAATAAAATCTCCGAAAATTGATATCCTCCATGCACATTGTATGCAAGTGGGATTGTGTGTATTAAGTGTGTGTGCGTATGCACACACATTTGTTTAAGTTTTATTTTTATATATAATTGAATAACATGTACAATTGACTTATAAATTATGTTAATGTACTGTAAGTTTACTTTGTTGCTAAGTTATGTATGCTGCGAATGAATTTTTTTAATTTTTTTGTATGTATAAGCAATTAATGTTAATATTGAAAACTATTTTTTTGTATTCAATTGTATGTTTTTGTTTGTATTACACATTTGGACGAATAAAACAAAACTAAAAGAAAAAAGGCGTATGCATATACCGCCGTTTTTGCATTTTAACCTGAAGCCTAGCTGTAAAAGACTACCATTGCCACTAAACAAAAAATCAGCTCTTGACGTAACCTTAAAAAAAGTAGTTGTTTAATTGTTTCACTTCATATACTTCATTCTATATCTAGAGCAATCTTTTTAATGTGCCATCATTCTTTTTTTCCACCGGGATTATAAACGATTTCGTCATCTGAAGGTTCGTTCAGATATGACGCAAAAAACCGCGGCGGTTGTTTTTGTGATGCTGTAAGTTCACATTTCTGGATCTTATAACACATAGCTCAGTGAATACGCGAAACTTCTTCTTTGTTCGCATTTTCCATTCATTTACACGTTCTAAAAAAACGCGGCGGTATTTTGCGGCGGTTTTCTGCGCCATATCTGAAAAAGCCTTTTACATATCATCCTTTACCCTATTTTCTTAATGTAATTTCAAAAGCATTAAGAGAACTGATAATCGTATTATAAGGTTTTAAGCTCGTGTGATTGTCAAGAAAATGGGTAGCGTTTAAAAACCAAAAAAAATACTGGCTTGATAAAAACTTGCTGATTTCATGATACTTACGCGAATGACTTGCACCGCTGAAATACATTTCCAAGGAGTGCTATTTATATTTAGTCTGGTGCTACAATGTTAAGCGAACGTGACAAAGAACGAAATGTTCATCCGATTATTTACAAGAACCTTGGTGTTATACCACACAAACCAGGAGGGGTTCTAAAAGACTGAATATTTTTATTTTTATTTATTTATTTATTTATTTATTATTATTATTATTATTATTATTATTATTATTATTATTATTATTATTATTATTAATTTTATTATTATTATTATTATTATTATTATTGTTATTATTATTATTATTATTATTTTTTTTTATTATTTTTTCTTAGGGGGGGGGGGGAGGTCTTTCGGTTTCTTGCCATTTTTTGCATTCTTTTTCTACATGTGCCTCTCTTAAAATCAAGAACAATGAAGAATTTCTTTTTTTTTGGGGGGGGGGGGGGTATAGGGGAAGGGGGGGGCTTCATTATTATTCCTCGTGTACATTGAATCGTTATCTCGATTGCATTACTACCTGCGCTAATCACTTCTAGTATTAAAGGCAGCTTCCCTATACGCCAGTAAGTCACCGTAATGTGTGCACTCATACTCCCCATCACCTTTTCCTCCTTCTGACCATTCACATCCCCCGCCAAAGACGGCACATGTAGCTGACGCAGGCTACCGTCAGTCAATGACGCTTACTGAGAAGCGGGCATTATCCCGTTATAGACGAGACGTCATTTGCCTGACGTATGGAGCCGTCTTTCAATGATGCGCCGTTTCAATGGTCATATAAGAGTAGGCTAATAAGTAATATCGTTCAAAATAGGGACTTTAAAATGAAAATCCGAACAATGTTTCTTCCTCTCTTTTTGGAATATTGTGGGTCGAATCTCAGCTCGGCAATAAAGTCCTTTGGCAAGGCATTAATGTAATTCACTCTCCACCCAGGCATTGATGGGTACCTGACGATTTGCTGGAGCAATAATAATTGCAAGGCCCGCAGGAAGAGAACAAATAATACTAATGTGGTTACCCCTGTTAAATCAGACCTTAATACTATTTATACTTTCAACTGGCTTATAGCCCAAGTGTCTTCACAGGCTGAACCCATTGACTACTGAATTCTGTCATTCCCATAGGTTTAGTACAGGAACCACCAGGTTCCCGGAGACAAAGCGTTAATTAGCGCAGGTAATAACGCAATCGAAATGACGCCTTGCGCACATCGGGATTTGACGTGTAACCCTTTATTATGTATATTCATAAATATCAATATTTTCTGTCCAGCCTGGCAGGTAAAACTGTAACTGGAATATGTTCGGGAAGCACTCATTGTTGTTCATCATGTGAAATATGGCGGAGCATTTATGAAACTTTCAGATCCCGACTGAATTTCCACCATGAAAAAGAGCAATTTCTTTATCCATTTAAATTGATTTTCAATAATTCTAATTAAAATATTTCTCGTCTACCCAGGATAGCGTCTAATAACTAATTCTGTTCTCCCTAAAGGGCCGTGCAATACAATTATAATCCCGGCTTTATTTGATGCCTATAACTATGGTAACTAACCAAATTCACCTGCATTGAACCGGCATTTGTTGAAAAAATCTTTTGTAATGCTATAGGACTGTGCCGATCTGGAAAATAATTTTTTAAATGTCGAATTTCAAAATTAGAGCACTTTTTTTTTGTCCCGAAATTTGAAAATTTTGCCAATCGATATTTAGTTCCGTTGGGGGGGGGGGGGGGGGGGGGGGTTAGGTCACCTTTTTGGGGTCACCCATTACAACAGGATGGATTGAAACTAAACCTCATTATTGTGAGATGTTTAATCAGTAAGTACATTATCAACACCACCAAAAGCTTCTGATCAAAGTGTGGATTTGACTCTCAATTTATACACTGGAATTTCTTGAGTATCAGTATTTTAAAACAAATTAAAAACTTACTCATCGCTTTTGGGGTCGATGAAGCAGTTTTACAAGGGTTATCATTTATATTCATTGGTTTAGTGAGATTCCAGTCAGTGTGGTGGGGAGGGGGGACCTGACATATGGAACCTGACATATGTAACCTGACATACTTGGTGGATTAAATGCAAGAGAAGAAGGCTGTCACGCGATATGAGCACGTTTCTATGTTCTACTATTTCTTCATGTTCTACATGTATTTTCTCTTGTTTTTACCATTGTAATTCAATTTATAGGATAATGTCCCCGTGCTACCCGTCGCTACGCAACTATTCTTTTACATTTCAACACAACTATAGCAGAGATTATGATACATAAAATATGACAAGTTTACTTGATATATAGACATGATAGAATTTCTACTGTATTCTAAGCGCTCGAAATTTTGCCTACCGGTAGCTTTCTAATTGTATAAAAAATATTTGACGTTCCATCAAATTGACAAAGCGAATGCCAGTCATGCTTGTATCCTTTTTAGAGGCGGGTACAGAATTCTCTGGCTAAGGGAGGGCTGTAAAAAGCTGAAAAGTATTGGGGGAGGAAAACAAAATTTAACAAAATAAATTATAAAACATTTTTTTCCCCAAAGATTAGCACTTTGTTACTTTTTATATTCGAGATATATCTAGATTGGGTTGGGGGGGGGGGCGCCATGTGTCTTCACCCCTGGATTATCCACCGCTCTTGTTACATAAAATATATTATATTTCAGTTCAAGGTTTGCTTCCGCCTTCAATCAAAAACGTTCTTAAAGGTAAAGACCAGCTATGGTCATGCGATTGCATTGTGAAAGAAACGTTGTGGAATCGATCAGAAAAGGTTGATCATCTAGCATCTAGCATCTGCAAGGTTCTGGAATCACCAAAATGATAAGAAATTTGGCCCATTCTTCGTAAAGTTACAAGCACTATACACAGAAAGATGTATATGGGACTACCCTATATCTCTCACAGACCATGAGAGAAACAAATTTACCAAATTTATGAATTAGTAGGCGGTTTCCCGGCAAATTTTTTATCATCATGTATTAGTCAAAACATATTCTTTCACATGATTGGTAATGAGAGCTTCCATTTCATTTTTTGAAATTGGGGCGTTTCCAATACTGGTCTTTTCCTTTAACATGAGAAATTAAGATAAATTAACAGAGAGTGAGTGAGGGGAGAAGAGGAATGGCAAATATAAATGTATTGGTTGGAAGCGTGACAGGAAAACAGAGATGGAGAAAAAGAGAAAGAGAAACTAGAATGAAGGAAAAGATCAATACATATTACATCTCTCGTTATTGATTCCGTGTGTTTATTGAACGAAATATGTAAGCCAGCCAACTCCGACGCGCTGATTTGTCCGTATAACTTACAAGGGCACAGAGGTAAGCAACCATTAGTTCGTCTTCAGACCGTCGGAGGAGCAGCAGCAATAACATTCTCTTTCATTCTCTCTGATAATCAACCAATAAGCTGGCAGCGCGATCTCGATTGTCAGTCTTTGAGCATGAAAACCGCTAGTTTAAGAGTCTAAATTCAGTTGCTTCAGCAAATTTTAGAGCATAACATCGGCTCCCTTTGATAACAATTGCAAGGAAACTCCTAAAGAAGCGATCGATTTGAACGACACCATACCAAATCATGGATCCAGATTTATTCACGGAGATGGCGGACGAGCAAGAGGATGATTTCGACTTCGATGAAGATGAAATTGTGAAGCTGGTATCGGTCGTGATTCTGTGTATTCTTGGAATTCCAGGAAATACAATCATACTCCTGGTATACGCGAAGAAAAAGAAGAGAATAAGTACCGACATTTTGATCATCGTACAAGCCATCATCGACTTCGTTGCCAGTGTCTTTGCGCCACTGGTGCTCTTGAAGACAGCCTACTCGAATCTCGTCACCGACGGCATTTGCGTCGTCACCGAGCTGACGGAAAACGGCAGCGCTTTCTCATCGCTCTTTCTGATGATGGTGATCAGCGTTGATCGGTATCTTCTCGTTTGTCGACCGCTTGGACGTCGTGTCACGACTCGCACGGCCGTGGTCGTATCCGTCTGCTGCGTGCTTGTGGCGATGGCGATGATGTTGCCGCGAACGATCTACACCCGTGCTGTCAATACTGATCTGGAGTTAGAAGTAAACTGCGAGTTTCCTTTAAGTCATCGAGCTACTGTGATCGTCTCCGTTATGTTCCCGGTCACGTTTATCGTAACGATGTTGATAACGCTTGTCCTCTATGGACGGATTTATATGTTTTTAAGAAGGCAAGCCAAAGTTCATGCGGCATTGGTTGGCAATGGTCCAGGTGGAACAGATGTTCCTCTGCCCCCTTCATCGGTTACGCCCCCGGCTAATGATGCAAGCACAATCATTGCAATGCAGCTAGATTCAAACGAGACAGCCGTTGAACAAGACCCAACTAGCATCGAACAGAAACATGTTTCTGAACGCCTACCAGGAAGATTGGAAAACCAGTCGCTGTACCAACTGACAGACAACGACACCGGTGGCGCGACTGGTAATTTGTCCGCGGTTGAATCCCACGCCGCAGCCGCAGCTTCAACTGCGACGTCAGTGACGGGACAGCCTGGAAACATCCCTCGTAAATATACAGCAGGGCTGTCAGTGGCCAAAGCCGGTGCCTCGAGTGCCCAGTCTGGAGACTCTAAACCCGAAGCAGCATCACAGAATGCCCCGTTTAAGCACCCAAAGAAAAGGGTAGCGCACATCCGCGGCCGCTCCACAACGAAAATGCTTCTATGCATCACCATCTATTTCATCATCACATGGCTACCTCTCATAACAATTACCCTTCTTCAGCAACGGGTGATCCGAAATCTGACAACGAATTTGATGGCTATTATCATTGGGGCATTCGACACGTTCCGAAGTACAAACCATGTGGTGAACATTTTCGTTTACATATACACAAACGTCCCGTTCAGAAAGGCAGCGCGAAAACTATTTACCCTCGAAGGTATCAAAGGAAAACTTTGGTGAATTTGTGATACTATTAAGCCATTAGGGTGGTACCACAAGGTTGCCTTGTGTCTCCTTTAATACTCATTTGGTATGGGCCTACTACTTGCCCTTTAAGCCCTCTGCGATGATGGAAGCGTTGTTTAAATGATGTTAAGATTTTTCAGTCTGTACCATGGCAGACAGATGTTTTCATTAAAATCCGGAATCATAGAGGTCCCCCTAACTGTTAATCATTTTAACAGTGTTGGACGTTGAAGAACTAGTAATAACATGATAGTATACTTGTTCAATGAAGTTAACCCTTAGTGTGGCTTGTAATAAAAATGGAGGAGTTTCTGCCCCTTTGTCACCTGTTCCATTGGACTTTAAACTGCATTGTAAAGAGATTGTAAAGTTATCCAAGTTCCATTATTTGATAGATATGTTACATCACAGTAACCAACTTTGGTAGCTCTTGATTTAACAGTTATGACATGTGTGACCTTGAATAATATGTTATTGTAAGGAAGAACTAATACCCTGTCTAATGATACCATTTTCATAATTGTGCCGCCTAGGACGACTAAACAGCAGGTACTTCAAAAGTATTGTCAAAATCCACTTGTACCAAGTTTGGAATGAATCAATGAATGTGAATCAAAAGCCATTGTGTGTGTTATCTCATTTCAAACAATTGGTAATTTCTTTACATTGACTATATGCAGTTGATTAAAAAAAGGTGTTACTATCGACTCAAACTCAAGGAAATGCTTATTACAAGCAAAATTCATGATATGCTTTTGTTATGATGATTACAATATTGACTTCATTCGCATCCCTTGTTTAAGGTTACCTTCTCATTGAGTGATACAAAAGGATAACGTTTATTTGGGATGTTATCTTTTTTTTAATGAAAGTCTGCTGTCAATGTCGTTTGAGTTTTCATTCGCTATTCGAGAAAAACACCTTATACTCCTTAAGCGTGTGAAATGGCGCAGGATACAAGTGAGAAGAGAGAACTTAGATATCATGAGACAATCAATTAGTAGGCTGTTTGAAATAATTAAAGGTTATTCTGCGGATAGAAACAAGGTTATGTGAAAGCCTAAATATATTGCACCATTTTATACCATGAAGCACTGAAGCACGAGGCATAAATTAACATTTAAAAGGATTTAAGACGTAGAAGAACATGCATATGGCCTGACCAACATTGGTTCATTAAGCCCAAACTTGGAACAAGGCGATTTTGACAACATTTTTTAAAGACCCCGGTGCTCAGTCACCACTGTCAGAAATATTATGAATAGGGTATCAATGGACAGAAAATAGGATATTCTTCATCATGAAATCAATTCCAAAGTCATATTGGTTATGAATGTTCAATTAAGAGCTACCAAAGTTATGCACACGTTTTGTTGATACGCACTGTACAATAATGCTGACAACTCCAAATCCATGTCAACTATAGTTATCCGAGATTTCTCAAAGGATTTTGATGTAATAGACCATAACGTTTTGATTTACAAGTTGATTAAGTTAGAAGTCAGACCTTAAATTTTATTTGTATAATTATATTGATGAATGTAGTTAGACAACATTTGTATCAGTTGTATTTATTGCCATGCATTTTGAATTGTACAGTTCATTTTTATTTTGTATATACATGTGCAATTCAGCTCTTTGCTGCAAACCATGTAGTTTAATGAGCCATTTTTATTGAAAGGAAATGTGAATAATTAGGTATCATAATTTAAATCTTGACAGGCCCGTCAAGAACTCTTTGTTGAAAATTAAAGTTTGATAATATTCACTGGGCTGTTCTTGAAAAGTGAAAAGTTGCAAAATGCACTAATCCTGTTTAATAGGCTGTGCATTCTTCTTTGAAGAATGTAGGGCTGATTTGTTTTTAGATAACCTTCCATGACAAACATACACACTCCCCTGAAACAAGCACGCAAATATTAAAACAATCTTGCTTTATCACTCAAACAAACATGCAATACACACTTAATTTCACATTTTCGTAAAGTAACACAATTTATGCATATGCCTTTGCGAAGTGCCTCGATACCAATTATTTCATTCACCTGTTACGAATACATGTATTTCAATAGTCATTCATTAGTTGTTGATAGGTGGGACAAACTTCATGATTTGCCTTACCTAACAACACGTAATATATACAATTTGCATTTTGACTATTGAAAAAAAAATTCTTATCAAGGCACTTAAGTATAGATTTGGTTGAGTCTCAAAACTGGCCTATTTATCTCTCTCTAAAAAGAAAACCGCGCTTTAATTCTTTTTAACAACTGCTGCTTCGATTTGCTATATTGAAGGGGCCTTTTTAACATTCGTTCAATTAGGCATGATGCTTCAGAAAAATGATGACCAAACATTTGCGAATATTGCTGGCAGGTCACCACTGTGCGTGAATTTCATTTTCAGATTTTTTAGAATTTCGCACATGGAAACCCGTGCTAACCACTGCATTTTGCAACTTTTCATTTTTCACCCTGCCTCTTATTCTGATGTACTGCTCATGCCATGGCTGCATAATCATGTGAGAGGTTTATATAATCAAAGAAAACACGTTTTGTTTTTCATAGTTTAATGCTTTTTAAAAATAATTATATCATCAACTAATGCGCTATTAATCAGGATGAACAATGCAATTTTCTCAATCTAATTTAGGGCAAACTTTTATATTGATATCTGTGCCTGCAAAGCTTCAAATGCGTTGTGATGACTTTTGTTGTTGATTATTAATTATTGATTGCTTGTCTGCTTTTTAGACAGAAGAGCCTCATCAAATTCGTTACCTAGGAGATTTGTTTGGATGACCTTGTGACCTTCTTCTTCGTTGTGAAGAAACTCGCATTTTTTTTTTACGCTTTTGGTTAAGCATGTAAACATATTGCATGTCAATCATGTATAATTATAAATTCATTTCAAACGAACTAATTACTGACTGATTTATTCACTTCATATTTCTTTACTTGTTATGCGTAGCGTTTGTTAATTAATGATTACTGATTTCAGGTCTTCTTATTAGATAGAATTAAATTGTTTTTGATGTAAATGTGGAATAAATAATCTTTAAAAAGAAAATTGACCTTCTATGTACAGTCATTCTGTAAGAAAGATTATAATTTCAAATTTCTTTTCTTCATTATCTTGATGAATGGTTGAAAGGGAGCCCAAATGTTGTTAAAATGATCTCATGTTAGTTAATATATCATATGATATTTTGTTGATTTTTATTAACATGTCTAAGATAATAAGAAACACCCTCCATTCTTTCATCCGCATTTCCATTTTGATCGACTCTTTTAACCCTTACTGTACTGGGCTATTTTGAGCACCCTCTGACTGGGGGGGGGGGGGGGGGGGGCTCGGGGGCCCCCCCCTATGATCTCGGTCGTCGAATGTCCGATGAACACGAAAATTTGCATATTTGTAGATATTTACGTAAGGAACAAGATGGTATAATTAGTTTTTTCCTAATATGCAAATTTTTGTCGTTATAGCCTAATTAATGATGCAAAATGCTAGTTTCATGCATTTTACAGAAAACTCTACATATTTGTATGTAGACTTGTGAAGAATCTTGAAAATGCATTGAATAAATGTTTCCTTCATCTCAAATTCATGAGGTTTCATTATCTTTTATGATATTTGAAAATGCATAGGTTAATTTGCATAAATTATGAATACGCAAATTACGCATTCATGAATATCAAATCTGGAACTATATTTAGGGAACTAGAATCATTACAAAAATTGTCAGACTCCACTTTTGAATGTTGAAACTCATTATTCATATGAAACTTCTTTTCTAACACAAAATAGTTATTTGATGTAATTAATAATGATAATTTATGCAAATTTGATGCGATTTTCAACTATTTATTTTCTTATGTATTTTATTGTTTTTTATTTCTTATTATATCTATTGTTTTATTTCTAATGTATACTTTTGTTCTGGAATACATCAAGTTACTCTGAGGGAATATATAAAAGCAATTTGATATCAATTCATATCTTCACATTTCTGCTTGTACATGAATATATGCAATTATAGCACTTTTTTGATGACATGCGCATACTAATTGTTATGTAACACCTTACAGGTATATCCGATTTCGACGAAAATGGTATCAAAATGTGCGTAAGACTTGAGGAAAAAAAGTCATTAAACGACAATTCTCCGAAAATGTCGAGGGGGGGGGGGGGCCTCCCAGGCTCCCCCCCCCCCCAGTACAGTAAGGGTTAAAGGGACTATGTCCCATTTGCAAGCCAAAAAAATGAAAAAGTTAAATTCCAACTGCATATGAAAGATAATATTAATTTAGAACTTCCCTAAAAAAAGTGGGGCTTTAGAAATGTTTTCAAGTGGGAAAATAACGAATATTAGTTGTCAAATCGACTTTAGGGCTATAGAGCCCCAAAGTAATAGTCTTGATTTTCAGACAATTGTACCGAAAGGTCATACGTTTTATGCTGCGCAAAGATTCAATCAGTTTAATCTTGGCCATCACAAGAAGTGGGTTATTGATGTAGACAAATGCTCATGTACCCTTTACAACTCTTTTCATGTATGTTATTACCAAAGAAGAAAAAAGCCAGTCAGTCACTCAATAGTGTCTGACAGTGAAGTCTAGCAAGTAAACGGGTTTCCTTGCATAATTTGAATATGAGGACACTGTTAACGTTTAAATTTCACAGATAGGACATACATGGCATATTCATAATTCCTGCAAAGTTCTACAGAGTTTGAGGTTGGCTGCAAAAGGGACATAGTACCTTTAAGAAGAACTGAAAAGACACACCACTTTAGTATATGTTTATTTCTATTTCCTTTCCTCATTTTTTCATGTTGTATTAAAGCACTTATTTGTCATGAAAGCATATTGAGCAATAAATAGCTCATTGGTTTTGTGTTATATAAATAACAATTCTATGTTAGTATGCATGTATGATATTCTCTGTAAAAACAACGCTTAATTGGAATTGAAATTGTATTACTATTTTTATGTTATTATTGCTGTTTCCAAATGAGCTTTTTCTGAAGGTTCATAATTTTAAAGCACAAACGTCTATACTAGGCGATAGATAAGCCTAAAATGGAAAAAAATATATATCATTTTGAACATACAGTGCATTACTCCCAGTATCATTACTCTGCAGATCGTGTTTTTTAGGTTTGAAGGTTTTTCCTCCCAAAGTGATACTGTTTATGAATTTTGAAGGTTTGTAATTACGCCAACGAAAGAGGTTTCATAATTCCGAAGGTTCATAAATTTAGTATTGTCAAGTGTTCTACTTTCTAAATGGAACTGTTATTCACGAATAAGTAGTATTATGGCAGTTATGATGCATGAGAAAAGGTTACTAATAGTTGTGATGCATCATTATGACGGGATTACTGATTGAGTCGAAATTCGACAAACTGTGGTTGCCTAGGTAACAGATCAAGATTGAAATCCATTAGTTTTAATGTTACTGCCTCGGACGGACAATATGCTAACACTTAACCAGTAATACCCATACGCTTCTCAGTTCTCATTGTTTCTAGATGATTTCAAAGGTACAGGGGCGTTTCTTACCATATTATAATGGTAGAAACCCATGTAGATAATTTAAAGTTAAGCAGCGTTGCCTAGCATACTATCATCCTACATGTGCTATTCAGAAACAAACTGACCTATTAACCTACTGCCTGCTAATTTCTCTCATTGGCTTAAAACAAGGGCAACTTGGTTGGGCAATGCACAAATACGTCAATATTTTGACAGATGTATATACTTTACGTAGTTAGACATCATGGATATGGTGCGTGTAAAAATTAATGTACATTTAGCGGTACCATAATTTCTTTCATGCATTTCAATTCTTGATACGTCGTCGAAAAAAACAACTATGAATGTCTATTCTATTCAATACTCTGTACCTATATGAACTAATAAATGTAATATATTGTCATCGTCAAAATTTTCCGTCATTGTCGTTGTGGAATAGACTGTTTAATGTAAAAGTTAATAAAAACTGTTAGGGTGAGAAAAGTTTTCATAAGTTAAATATATTCATGTCACCAGGCACTATGCACATAAACTAAAAAGCAAGACTAATAATCACGAAAGTAAAGTCAACTAAGATGTATCCGAGAATAGTGCTTTATTGAAGGCTCACGTTCACCAACACTTTGTTTGCAAGTGTGCAACATAATCATAATGGATAATGTAGTATTTTTAATAATAATAATAATAATCCGTTTTTTTATATAGCGCAAAATACAACGATCCAACGATGTGCCTAAGCGCTTTACAGATATATTATTACCCCGGTCATCGGATTCAGGCTCACCCGCACACAATGTGTGCACAAAACTCAAAACTCGAAGCAACTCCTTTCGTGTCAATATGGAGATAAGATTTCTTTAAAGTTGGGTTGATTGCAGATCGAGCTCAAGATAACACACTAAGAAACTTTATATCATAACTTTATATTCATTAGAAGTGATAGATAACTAAGTAATATATGATAATTGTATAGGTAATATATATCTGACATTCTGCTAGTGTAAATCTCGTGCTCATTTTCAATAGCGAAGCTGCATCTGTCTCGTACTTACTTACAAATCTATCAGATATTTAATATGGCGCCTTTGCCCTTTGTAACCACCGGGCTGATTGCTAAGTAAAGAGCATTCGTCTTCCTTCACGGCTGTTTTCTGGACATCAGTTTTATTGTATGTAAGCGAGAGCTGCTGGTTAAATAGACAAAGTTCCCACTTTCCCTCTCAGTTTCGGCACATAGAAGTAATTGATGCTCCCTTGACCTATACCGGCGAGGCGGATGGAATATGATATGATTTTAGTCGATTTACGAAAAAAGTGTCTAGTCTAATTGTCTCCTTAAAATTAGAGAGATGTAAAGCATTCTTAATACTCGCAATCTCATGTTTTTTTCCGCCTGAGCTGAAGACGCCGTAAAGATCAAACCTCAGTCTGAACATTATTTCTTTTTGAGCCGGGAAATTGCCCAAGTGATATATCGTATTGAATGTCTATTTTTTTCTTTTTTTCATGATGGTTTGTCTCTATGTAAACATCTACCGAGCGATTATCAAACTGATTCTTTTTACAAGCTCCGATAAACACAAGCAAATGAGGCATAATTCACCTGTGTGGTCGCTATTTTTCTTCCCTCTTCGAAAAAAACTATTAACAATGCAAAATTATCTTGATATTTTGACTAATGCTGATTCCCTGTCCCCATGAAATAAATTTAATCTTAAATGTTAGTGATGATGTTTTGCTGTGGTAAAATTGAATAGCCAATGATAAAGTCGATTTTGGGATTTGGAAAAATACATATCCCACAAATCATTATTACTAAGAAATCCAAATGAATAACGCAAACGCTTGCAATCACTTAGGACAAAATGGAGTACATTGTTAATGGCGTGAACGAACAATAATGTGACATACTTTGTATTTCTTCTACAGCAACAACAACAACAACATCAATACAACAAACAGAAGAAGAGGCTGTTTTGGTATACTTGTATATAGAAATGTTTAATTTTCTTTGGAAAATGTTTGAGAATTTTTATTATTTATACCAAATGCTTTGGTCTAGCAACATTGTAAAGGGTTATTAACGGGCAGCATTTGATTATGTCCTGCGGAATATGAAAATATTTCAAAAGAATATCATGGTGTGTTATTAAAAAAATATATAATGCTTTCATTCATTGTTGTAAAAGTTCTTTATTAAGATTGCAAGTGTAAAATAACAAAAACTTATTCGGGCATGACAATTATTCTGAAATATATACATTTTATGATCAGCATGGACGTGCTAATATGCGCAATGTGAAAAACAAAATAAAAGCTACTACCTTAAAAAGGGAATAAATGCGAATAAATAAACAAATGTAAAGTATGTCAGAACTTCGTTATGTTAAGTCGGAACTTTATTATGTTTTAATAATATCAATTTATAATTAGCCCTAACATCTGGAAGCATTCCATTTGAGAATGGTACAGTTTTGAATGACAAAATGATGGCATAATACATGAAGTTATATTAATTTTGTAAAGCGCTTAATAATAGGTTCCAGGCTGCTTTATGTATAATTTTTAGTAGCTCGGTCTTTCGATTTAATTGATATTCTGCACATAATGGGCACACTCTCCACTCCTCTGGCCTTTCCAGCCATGCAGGCGCCATTTCACAGGCGCGTTCTAGCGAATCCAACAACATTGACCTTCACATTCTACCGGGAACCATATCAACACATGGGCGGAGAGAAGTAATGTAGATCGAGTGGTTTGCTTACTTACTAAATGACACAAGTCCCATTCAATTGTTCACACCACTCGACTGCGACATCTCTTACCACAACTCTTTCTTTAGGTATTCACACAATCGTGAAAGTCGTAACCTTTAAATCGTATACACTGTATTTGCCTTTTCGTCGAGCAAGTAAACAAGTTAATGGTTCCGAGGAACAAACCAAAATCTTTAAAAGAAAATCATGCTGATCTTCGTGTACAAATCACGAAACAAATTGTATGTTTTCGTGACTTCTTCACTTCAATATTTTATTTTACATTTCACTTTCCGTATTTCAGCAACCACTAGTATTTTGTGTTTTTAATAACTACGTTGCTTTCTGAAAAGCACTAATAACTCAAGACCAGTTTCCTAAAAAAAAGCAGCAGTTATAGCGTTTAAGTGCATCTGATTAAACAAAAAGGAATCATTTTATTGAGTGAATTTGTATTAATGATTATTCGCGTTTGCAACGAAGCAAGCAAGCGATCAAGCAATCAATAGTTATACAGGGTGACCTGAAAAAAAGAACACAGCACCTGAACGCATGACTGATCTTTATTGTATCGGAAACCGGCATGTGCAAATTTCTTGCTTTTAGCATAACTACGGGATTTCAGATGTAACAATTTTGAAAGCGGTATTTGCCTCGTAAAAAAGTAGATTCAAAACGCCGTACCCAAACTTGATGATGTTGGTGTCATTATATGCCTAGTTATAAAAGTATTTGCTACCCAATCAAAAACAAACAATGCCATAGTCTCAATGATATTGTTGAAATTGCAGATCTCGGGTGTTATGTCCTTATTGCACGGGTCACCCTGTACATCTTTAGCTATATACATTATTACGACCACCTGACGAAGATTGCCAATAGTGCTTTGTATTTCTTCACTTTATCTAATATATATATTCAACGCGAATGGTTTTGATAAAAGCAAACTTAAAAGGCATCATATGCACACAAAAAACAACCAAAGAAATTGAGATTCTGCCCTTATAGGCTATGTCATTTTCTAACAGTCAGCAATTACAACTCGAGATTTTGCGAAGGGCATACAATTCCTTTATTGACAAACTGGAGAGAAAATGTTGGATCTGGAAAAACTGTCTATTTGGAGCGAGAAGGACGTTAATTCATATACTTTGTATCAGAGTTAATGCCCTTCTGGCTCTTAACAGACAATCCATTAAATTCTTATCGACAGTCACACCTTCTCACTGATTTTTATTTCTTTAACATAAACTATTACAAATTATCGTCCTGTTAAACATCGTCTGCGGTAGAGCTACGAAGATGAAATATCCTGTTATCAAACCCACTTGATCGTAAATTCCGACATCATGTCAAGCTCTAGGCCCGATAATGTCAGTACCTGCAAGTATAATAATTAGATAGAAACAAAGGAATCAATCATTTAAATAAAATCATTAAATTAATAATAATTAAACACAAAGAATCGTAGGGGTGCTCTTTGAACATTCAAAATCATGAAGTAGAAAAAACCTGCCATCAATTTTTTTTTTCTTTTTCACGTTATACAGATTACGCTTATCTAAGTCTAGCACCCGAGTTTCCATTCAATTTAACTTATCTGAAATTCACTTTTACCTTCTCTATTCTATTTCGATTACTTCCCTATTTGCTATTGAAATACATACATCATCAATCGGGGAGAGTGTCCGATTGTGATGATCAGGATATAACTTAAAAATTATTACCTAAAAGAATAGTCGCCCATCCTCAAACCCATCCTCAAATTGGCACTAATTATCCTTATTTCCCCCTCCTATATTATTAAAGAAATGAAAATGTATATAAAATAAACCAATATAAAAGAAAGTTACAAAACTCAACAAAAAGTTATTTTGATTACAATTTTACGCCGTGTTGCCAATTTTGAGACTTTAGAGATTTGGGTCAATAAAATCACTTATATTTATGATCGGCCCGAGTATTCTGCATTGCAAATTGACATAAAATGTTCTGTCCTTTTAGCTCTTCCTGCTCATGTGTAATTCATAGAATTCTTAATCAAAAGGCATTTTTTTAAGTTATGAAATGAGACATAATTTCTTACATTTGTTGCGTCATCAAATACGACGCCATCTATCGGAGATTCACCGCCAGTGGTGGTTATTATGACGTCAGTCCCTTCCACGTAGTTGTCAGCGCCATATATGGAGATATCAGCAAAGTAAAGCGAGTTGGGATCTGTGTACCCATCGACACGGACTGTCATTGTGAGGATGCCCTGTAAAGAGAAAAAGAAGAAGATGATAATGATGGTTATGTTGAGGACGATGATGGTGATGATGATGATGAGGAGGAGGAGGAGGAGGAGGAGGAGGAGGAGGAGGAAGAAGATGATGAAGATGAGGATGGTGACAAGAAAGGAGGTCGGTGATGAGGAGGAGGATGGAACGGATGATGATGATGATGAGGGTGATGATGATAACGATGATGGTGAGGAGTGGGATGATGATGATGATGATGGTGATGGTGAGGAGGATTGCGAGGAGGATAAAGGGGATGAGACTGGCACTACTACCTTTAATAATCCGTCTACTAATGTTACTGTTGGAGACAAACAGAGCGGAAATTGAAATTGGGACAGCAATGGAGAGAAAAAGCAAAACGTAGATATGCAGACTCACGGATGGATGAGAGAGAGAGAGAGAGAGAGAGAGAGAGAGAGAGAGAGATAGGGGGGGGGGGGGGGGGGGGGGGGGAAGAAACAACGGAAATATAAAAAAACGAGTGATATGCAGTGTTCAAAAGAGGAAAAAGGGGGAGGTGAGAGACGGATGTAAAGAGAAAATTGCAAGTTAACATATAGAGAAGGGATAGAGGAGGAAAATGAGATAGAGACAGATATATATTTATAAAGAATAACAGAGGCATAAAAAAAATAGGAAAAGGTCAACATCGTGAGTATTACGTACCCAAAATAGAAGAAGCATACATTTGCATGAGGCACGTTGTTTAATTTGAACTTTATTTTATTTTATTTGCCACAGGCTGAACGTAATCACACTATACGCAGGCCGAAGCATAGACCAACATCGATGTAGATTTTACCCGTTGATTTTACCCGGTGATTTTACCCAACAACAAAATACCATATCTGTGCTTCATGAATAATATATTATCCATGCATGTACAGCGTTTCAACAAACATATGTTATGAAACTTTTGCCCAGCATTTTCTTTTCAACTATTCACAATAAAGTGAACTTGAAGCGTATCACAAGATGAAATTCCTATGGATTATAGTATTTTGTTCAAATGACGTGCCTCACAAGTTAATTTTTGCCACATCTAGTACCGGTCTCCCCGATTCATTCACATAATAACTCACCTCCGAAACAGAAAACTCTATCAGGCTGTATTCTCCATTCTCATATGAATCTGTGTTTGAAAAAAGGGATATTTATAGAAACAAATGATACAATCAACGCCATCTACATTCATCCATAGAAAAATTCACCGCGAAAACAGAACACTCTAACAGGCCGTATTCACCAATTTTATTGTTATCTGTGATTGGAAAAGAGGACATTTATAAAAAAATCCAATGATATAATCAATGCCATCTACATTCATCTATAGAAAATTCACCGCGAAAACAAAACACTCTAACAGGCCGTATTCACCACTTTTATTAGTATCTGTGATTGGAAAAGAGGACATTTATAAAAAACCAATGATACAATCAATGCCATCTATATTCATCCATAGAAAAATTCACCGCGAAAACAGAAAACCTTAAGTGGCTGTATTCACGATTTTCATACGTATCTGTGATTGACAAAGAGGACATTTTATAGAAGCCAAGGATATCATAAATTTGATATAATACAATCTTTATATTTCAGTCACACCGCCAAACCGACTCTTAGCCGATTCAAGACGGACGGATTCTTTTCATCCGGGGTGGGGTTTTTCCGGTCTGTTGTCGTTGTCCTGGCGGCTCTTCGGTGTAACTGGTGTTACGACTTCAAACCGATTCCGGGCCGACCGATTCTTTTCTTTTCGGATTATTGATTTCTGTATTTCGTCTGGTGTTGGTCGCCTTGGTGTGTGACTGAGGTTCTTCCTCTACATCTTGAAGTGTATGCCGAGCGAGATTTTACGTCATTTTTTTGCATTACAAAAATACATGCATGACGACGACTTTTAATAGCTTTGCATCGCATTGGTGTGACCTGTATTTATTTTTAATGTGGATTTGTTTTCCTTATGTTTGTCTGTTTGTTTGATTTTCTTTCCTTCAAATCTCGAACAATCTATTGTTCATAAAAAGCAATAATATATTATAGTGAAAGTTTGAGACAACCGGGTCTGTATGACATTTACTCATGCGACAATTGAACTGCGACAACTTCCTGAACTAGCCGAATTCTTAACTTCGAACCTTACAAAAGATTTATAATTAACCCTAACAATAAACCTAACATAAATCCCAATTAAACATGTTTAAATCTAACACCTGACGAAATAAATTCCGGAGCAAATATCGCAGGAACAAATTTCGGATTCCCATAGCCATTTTTTTTCTGATGAAAACAGGAAAGTTTCCGATACTGTTTACACGATACATTGATGCGAAGTGCAATATATTGAACATGATTTTTAATCGTAGGACGGTAATGTACCTCGTGACTCGCCATCATCCCAGAACAGGTCGCCAAAAGCCCCGTGATCGTCATCTAATGCGACAATGAGACCTAGTGGATTCAGACGACTACAGTGATCATGAAAACAAACAGAGTGAATTAAAAAAACGGGTTATAGAATGTAGGCAATCTAATTGTTTCAAATGCGTCACGTCAACATCGTCTATCTTGAGTTTGTGTCAATTTAAAACTCTTGCGCCCTCTAGGTTGTAATTTAGCCGAAAGTTTCTATACTACTTCAATTAATGCTTTGTTGCATTTAAGTTAGATATTGAAGTTTGACAACAACAGCAACAACAACACTGATGCTGATAATACTAACGAAATATTAATATTAATACTACAACAAGTACTCCTATATGTACTACTACTACTACTAATACTACTAATACTACTACTACTACTACTACTATACTACTACTATTACTACTACTACTACTACTACTACTACTAATACTACTACTACTACTTCTACTACTATTACTACTACTACTACTACTACTACTACTACTACTACTACTGCTACTACTAACACCTGTCTTACCTGTACACCGTGGTGTTAGAAGGCTGTTGGATTGGGAGTACATATCCTCCTCGTACATGAAGATTAAGGTGCTCCATGGGTGCTTCGAGTTGTGCCAATTTGCCTCGCTGCTCGGTCATCTCTGTTCCCTAAAATAAATTGAATGTATTTCTCCAAACTTATGGTTCGCGGTTTTTTATCTATTTATTTTAGATTTCATCTTTTATTAGCCGTGCTCTGTGTTATATCATATACAAATAAGACGCGTATTACTCTTTACGTCATCACACACACACACACAAAAAACCCGCCGCGGTGCGAATATAACATTGCCGTACTACATAACCGAATATGATAATTAAAACGGGATATTCATTAAGGTATTACAAATTCTCTTGTCATGAGTAGATTTTTTTCGGAAACAGTTGCGATCGTGTTTTTACAACTTATTTACTGTAGATATTACTTAATTTAAGTTATATACACGTAATTTTGTTTGACTATATTTTTCTTGATTCGAGTTATTAACCCGTATTGATATTTAACTGACTTTATATTCCACATACTAAGAATCTTGCTCTACGATTGGTCATAAGTAAATCACGTGATCAAAGATAGTTCGCCCATCATTGATGGGAGAAGCAAAAAGTTCGTTGCCCTTTGTAGATAGTACTACTATCTACAAAGGGCAACGCACTTTTACTGAAGATAGAGGTACTATCTACAAAGGGCGACGCACTTTCACTGAAGATTATCCAAAAGCGCACTAAAATAGGCGTAATTAAGCGCGCAATTCCAATGAGCGCAATTAAAGCAAACACATGCGCGCACCGTACCCTAAAAGGGTTGGGTTAAACTTTTAACCTTTTTGGTGTGAATTTGGGCCTGGTGTCTTTCATGTAGATGCATACACGTCCTTTTCTTGTTGTAGTTATATTGTTTTTAGATGTGGAGTATAAAGCAAATAATCACCTTTTGGTTTCAGGCGATGGCAAACTATCACTTCCTCGTCGATCAGAATGTATACGCTATCTTTCCTCAGCTTCGCTTCGGAAAGAAAGCTACATCCAGATCGCCTCGGAAGTGATAGTTTGTCCCATCACCTTCACCAACGGTAGTTATTTGCTTACTAACCGACTCTTCTGCTAGTTTGAGTCTTATTATTTCAATTAAAACATACATATAGATATGAATGTAGAACAAACAAACTTCAAACTTGAATGGACTTACGTCATAATAGTCGTACCATCTGGCATCCGGGAAGTATGCTTCGACGATAAATGTTTGCTATATAGGAGAAAAGGGACCAAGAAAAAACGGGGTAAATGTAAGAAATTAAACTGACCAATAGTTCGCGTGCACTTTTGAGATCCATAGGAGAAAAATTGGGCATCAACACCGCCCTCATTGTCAGCCAAAGTACTGGGCAAGTATTAGGTTTATATCACAACGAAGAGGTGTGGCATGCCTAATCACTAATGGTTTTGAATTTTGTTAAACATAAGATAAAAGTTATTGATAAGACATCATCTTGATTTTTACATTTTTTACAAATTGCAACGTTTGTTTTAAATAATAAAATAACGAAAAGAGACTTTTTGAATAATCTGTTTCATTTTAAAAATTAATACTAACAATAATAATACTACTTCTAATAATAATGACAATGATAATAAATTTCATAGGAAACGTCAATATTTACCTCTTCTAGCACAGGGGAAATCATGAAAGCTGGTCCCCACAGGAATTGCCTGTCTATGTCATAGGTCAAAGGGTCAGAGGTGAATCTGTAAAAAGTGAGTAAAATCTAAAATATCAAAGATCCAAATTATTATAGGGGTGTTAGTGGTTTGATCCCGCCGATGGAGGTGCTAGGATCGAGTCCCGGCATAGCAGTAAAGAGTATCGCAAAGTTGTCTTCATAAATTCACAAATTGGGCATATTCAACAACTTTGTCCATTACAATCAACAACAAAACTTGGGTTAAGATTAAGCATAACGTAATCTTGACATTAGTTGTGTTCTATGGGGCATGGAAATTGCCCTTACGTTGAGTTTTCTATTGTCTGTGCGATTTTATTAGTATTTGTAATCTTGCGCGGTAATTGTATGTTTTTTGTTTGTTTTGGGGAGGGACATTAGAAGGGATAGGGATTTGAGGATTCTTGCATTACTTTTCTTCATATCACTTGTTTAAATCTATTCATAATCAAAACAAAACAAATATGGAGGGGGCTTAATTTATTTATTTATTTATTTATTTATATTTTTTTATTTTTTTATTTATTTATTCATTTATTTATTTTAAATTTATTTATATATTTTTTAATTTAATTTTTTTTTTTTTTTTTTTTTTATTATTATTATTTTTTTTTTGGGGGGGGGACTTACGCCCCTCAAGGCCCTTCTAGCTCCGCTTCTGTTAATAATATTCTTACTCATTGAGCAGTGGTCGTACAACCGTCGAACTGTCTTTGTGGGCGTGGTAGAATAGTGTGTAGAGGTAAGGGAGCATGCGGTACCGATGCAATAAGATATCACGTGACATGTCGGCCATTTCTGTACTGAAGGCCGTAGGGTGCTGAGGCTGAAATGAAACGTGGGGAAAAAGTTGAGTTCAGGTAAAGATATTGAAATGATTTGTGAACTTTCTCATTTTGTTGTATGTAAATTTGGAAGAATTTCCCATGAAAAGAGTTGCCTGGTGAAATATGACAAGAAATAGCTGGGAAATTTGGATCAGACATTGAAAGTTTCGACCAAACTTCCATCGGTGCCACACACGCGTACAGTCACATATACCTATTTCTCGGGGTTGTGAGGTGTTGAGGCTGGAAGGAAGAGTCCAAGCTAAAGTTGAGTTCTTGTAAAGATAATGAAATGATATTCGAACTTTCACCTTCTCTCTCTCTATATATAATTATTATATAAGTCGGTTTGACTAAGGCACTATTTACGCCGTTATTAATACCGACGAGAGCAGGTATACATGAATAACTCTAAATTAACTTACGATCATTCCGTCGCCGTTGTGGTTCCTTGAATACGGATAGAACGCTCCAATTTGCATCCATCTCCAGCACATCTCTTCAGTAGTATTGTACCAAAACCCACAGATATCAGCTCCGATCTAAAACAAAATGAAACAAGAAAACAAAAACAAAAGCAAAAGAAGAAGAAGAAGAAGATAAGTACAAAATAAAAGAGTTAAAAGAGATTCAGTTTGTCTTCAAATTTCTAAGCTTCTAAATCATTTGGCACCCGAATATCAAAATAAGTGCCCACTGGAGGGGAGCTGCCCCCTTGAAGTACAATTCTAAGAATTTATCTACCCTTTTTTTTTTTTTAGGTGATGAACATGTTTATATGAAATATCGGATCCGCCAGCTCGTAATGTTCACTCAACAAACTTTGACAAATTGTAAATACATGTACCGGTATTATTATTCCCGAGTCTAGATTCTCATCACTTAAGAAAAGTTTGACAAACAGTGGTTGCGTCAAAAAAAGATGAACCAACATCCCACTCCGTACCAGAGTTTGTTTCACCACTTTTTAACGATTATAACTGCATCCTCAGTTATTTATTGTGATCTACCCCCCCCCCCCTGTAGGTTTTTCTCTGCAGATTGGTGACTTTGTCAGCGTAATGGCAATGTATATTTATTATCATTTTTTTCATAATCTTTGTCATTATTCATATCTTATTTCACATCTCACCTTATCGGCTTTCTTTAATACAAGAAGAAAATTGTAATAATACCATAAATACAAAGGTATCGTAATTCAACATATTAACATTGAAGCATATTAGAACAGTCCTCTTGCTTTTAGTTACCTGAAAAGTAAGGAATTAATTGAAATTGAAATGAGGATATTTCATCTTTTAAGAAATATCAGGACAAAAAATTGTTTTAATCGTTATACTTACATATGGAAATCCAAACATGTTGAACTCAAACATGCCTGTAGAGAGAGAGAGAAAGAGAGAGAGAGAGAGAGAGAGAGAGAGAGAAGTCAGTCGAAGCTGGGTTTTCCGTTTATTTTTAGGAATCTCTGAGTGGAAAAATCACATGGCTGGTATGTCATATATATTTAATTTGACTATGCATACATAACAAAGAAAATGCCTTATACTTGTGGAGAGCTGCTGTAGGTAGAGGTGTTGTGGTCTTGTGAATAAGTCTCTGGACCGTAAACCACAAGGTACGGGGTTCAAATCGCTGCCGCAGCACTAACGTCCTTTGACAAGACATCAATCTACATTTGCCTCACTCCACCCTCACCTTACGGTTGCCGCGGCTAAGGCCGGTAATAATATCCAAAGTCCTTTTGGAAGCGCGGTGAGACCTCATATCCAAATAAACGCGCAGTACAATAAAGGTATATTTCAAAATATATCACATAACTCGTCAAACACCGCGCCAGAGTTCCGACCACATATCCACACGTCGTGTGTCTGGACAGGTTGGTTGTCCAGACAGAAGATTTCAAGCAATGATTTGAAAAAAGTTTACTGGCAATATTACAAATGACGATTATTTTCCCCCGTTTAATAATCCACAGTCAAAAGTGAGAGCTTTAAGCGTCCTGACACACAACCCCGATCACACAATCTTAGTAGAGGGAACTGTTTGATTCACCATCAATTTAACCCATGAACCAACCCGCGTGCTCGTGTCACAACTTTGTTTCTCTCCGAGTTATGGGAGCTTGTATTGTACCCCCTCAACGTCTGCTATTTCAGCTCACCTACAATACTCCACCAAATCTGCTCCCAGAAACTCTGATTATCTCCTAGCCAATGTTGAGCATATTTCCCGGTACCAGCAAACGAGGACCGGGTCAGGACCAGGCTCCGTTTTTCTGGGAAGAGGGTCTCTAGAGTCCTGTGGAGAAAAAATATGTAGAACTTCATTGTATGACCTTAAAGGGGTGTAGCATGACGAGACTACTCGTCTTTCCCGCGGCCTGACTCGGGGCCGATCAGGTATAACGGACGACGTGATTGCAGTGCGTGAAGCGGAAGTGTGAGGAGAACTTCGGTCTGTTTCGCGACCGCTAGGGCGCGCTGACCGTTATAATCAAGACCATTCGTTTACGTGCAGTTGGCCAAAGAAGTCGTAGATGGCGTGAACCAGTATTTACCACGCTTCACCCCCTTTAAGGAGTTCGCCGAATACTTTGAAAGTAATTGTAAACCAGGCATTTTGAGGCACCATCTATCTAGTAAGTTATTCTCACGCGCTGTAGATTTTGCGAAGAATTATTAATACATAATTGAACAAGTAATTTACATATAATATAACTCTGCTATAAAAGCCTTTTCTCCTTTACTAAAAAGTAGTTCTCTGCACTATTATTAATTCGCTTTCAGGAAGAAGACATTTTGAGGTTCAAGGATATATTTAATTTTTATAGTGTAGGGAATTATTATCTTTATTGATCAGGGTAAATTATGCAGGCTGAAAATATACATCAAATATTGTTTCATGGATACATCAAAGTAGGTCCGAAATTTCAGACCCTTCCCAGTCATATTTGGAACATGTGACTGTATTTCAAGAGTGCAATACATGTCAAATGAATGAGCTACTATGATTTTTTTCTTCTCCATGGTACTAAATTATTTCTGTTCAAAGCTCTAAAATCTGTAAATCATCTTTACCACAAGCCAACCATCCCTTTTTGAAAAATGGAAGAAAGAAAGCATACTTACACGAAAGACATTTCACTCATTGCGTGACCATAGAGACTGTGTAAGTCATAATGCTTGCCGGTGTGATGCTGGGAATCCATGCAAATCGTCTTGGTGAAGATCTTTTCCTCTTCCATCAAGAGATCTGAGAATTATCGTGAAATTAATAATTCAATTTGATTGGGAAAGGAACAGAAAAGACAAAATGGACATGTCTTGTCTTTAAAGCTTACAAAAACACCTCGAAGTGGCTATCGACATCAAATTATTATGCAGCCGCTGCCTGCATCGCTTCACTTATATTTAGGTTTTCTGTTTATCCTTAGTTTAATGTTTATTGAAACGCTTACTTACATTCGGAGAAAAACATAATAGATTGAGTGAGAAAAAAAAGAGAGAAGATGAGGAAGATAAGGAGAGGTAGAGATAGAGAGAGAGGGGGGGAAAAGGGGGCGGGGGGAGGGGTAGGAGGGATTGGAGAAGAAAAAAAAACCTGTCATAGTATAACAAATGCAATCGATAACATGTAAGACGTTCCAAGAAATCCAAACGGTGGAAAGTGTTTAAAAAGGGGCCCAAATTTGTGTTAATAATTTCCCATTTCTCATAGCAGCAAGAGAGCCAACCATACAAGCCAAAATCGGTTCCAGTTGAACACGTTGCACATTCTTTGTTTTGTGCTTGCCCAACAAAGCAACATATGGCGCCGTATTGTGTCAACTTGGAACCTTTGTTGCATGTCGTTTACATAAGTTATTAAAACACTGCCGCGGTTGATCACTTCATATCTGAACGAGCCTTTACACTGTATTGGCGCATGTAATAGCGCAGTCGTTCGACGCCTCGTGTGCAGCAGCGGGCTTGACGCATTACTCACTTGGAAGGTAAGGAGGATAGTTCCATCTGTTATCGGGGCATTCCCCTTCGGCTGTCGAACCCCGGATGAAATTGGAAGGTTCGTTCATATCCTGTGAAATAATACATGACGAAATTAGGTTCGTTTATACCCTGTAACATAATACACGTATACTCTGTCAAATTTCAGAACGATGTTTTTTCTCATTTCAAAAGTGATACATAGCTGTACATTTATTATTATAAATATATTACACCATATTAAATTATGAAAAGTAATTATATTTCTTGATATTAAATACTTTCTACAATTTCAAATGAATGCATCATTCAATAAGGTGAGGATGACAACTGTGGAAATAATCGTCTTTCTTAGTCAGTTCATCGGTCTGTTCATTGGTGTCAGACTGTAATATTAATGTTAAACAATATAGATATATCGATTGCTAAGAGAGGTCTGTGTTTTTTATAGGCTCAAGGGGAAGCAACGTCCCCGAAAGCCAGTATAGAAATATCCAGACCTCGAATATTAAAACAGTCGATATCTCTTTTATATACCGAATTGACACAAAAATCTACCAAGGATTCTTACCTTATCCTTTTCTTGAGTAAAGATTGGTTAAAACAGCAGAGAAAATCTGAGACACTGTCTGTTAATCTTCGCTGGAAAGATGACTGAATGTTACAATTATTTGGGAATCGCAGACAACAAGCACTGTATGGTATCCGCGCTCGCATAATTTTTTAACACGTAAACCAATTGGGATCTCATCAAAATGTTATTATTTTCCCGGAACCCGAATTCTTTAGAGATTCTCACTCATGAACTATTAATCGTTACTGGCATTGTTTTTTTTTTTTTTTTTTTTACGGGAATTGCTAAAATCACGACTCCAATTTCGACCAATCAGATGGCTAGATTCTAAAGAGAGGTATATAAATCGCAATAGTAGTCGATGAGGGTTACCGGCCGGCCGGTTGAGAAGAGACGTAACTTACAATCCAGAGAGCATCGTACGAGATGACGTCATGGAAATCTGAACAGAGTGTTGTCCACCAGCCTTGTGCAGCAGGATTTGTAAAGTCCGGATACACGCTCTCATTAGGCCACACCTATATAAGGAAATAGAAAATAGGGTATTTTGTTACAAAGTATCCAATTGTTTAAAAACTTTCACGCGACACTCAATTATGTGCAATTTAAAGATCCTTTTATCCATGGACATTGTGTATAAAGTCCGGATACACGCTCTCATTAGGCCACACCTATATGGAATGCAATATAAATATGGCATTTGTTACAGAGTATCCTATTGGTATAAAAAGGCTATCACGTGACACTCAATACATTGTTATGCGCATGTGCGTGGGCGTTCAATTTAAAGACCCTGTTATCGCTGTTACATTGGGTATATATCGCGCAAGGACTGTTAAATATAAGAACTTTTAAAACACCAATGTCGGTTACTCTTTTCAGCGATTCTCCACCCATGAAATACAATCCGTATAGGTGTTGCGGCCTAGTGCATAAAGTATAGGTTACCGGACGTTTGTGATAGTGGGTTGCTGGGATTACTAGAGACTTTTAGATTTGCACGATGAGAACGTGGACTGCTACGTATGACATCCTTTTAAGGCAATGTGACGACCTTTTAAAGCACTACCGGGCACTGTCAGTACGTGCCTTAGGACGTCATATTGCGTTAACAGGATGTCACACCTAGCAGTCCAAGTTCTCGTCATGAAAATCTAAAAGTCCTTAATAACCGATGAGAACAGTCCAAGCAGGGATGACTAGGATTAGAACAATAGAAATGATTCTTACTCTTCCAACGATGGGGTCGATACCTTGTGGGTCTAGGACAAACACATTAGGATCCAGACCAGAGTCATAAGCGTGATATCCTTCTTCTTCCTTGATACAGTGATCCTGTAAAACAAAACAAGTCAACCCAGTTTGAGTTCTCGGAAACACCTCAATTTAAAGTCCTGTCTAAAGTCCTGTGTGACAGCTTTGGTGTCTAAGTCCAGACTTTCGCATTCTGAACTTGGACTGACTGTATTTAAAAACTAAAAATTTATAACACATGTAGACTTTCTTACCAGAATGATGATGTATTTCTGCCCATGGGCGTGAACTTCATCTACAAACTCTGGAAGACCATCATAGGCGACCTGGTCATATGTGAAATCTTTCTTCTCGTCCATATAGTCTATATCTCCATATTGAACATCCTGTGGGTGACAAAACAAAAAAGAAGAAAATTGTGATAAATGGCATGGTAGCTTCTATATTCCAACAACCAATTGGTGTCATATATCTATTGCGCGGAAAACATGCTTTGACAACCCTAACTTCCGAAAACCCATACTTGTCCCGACAACATATGATTACACAACGATTATTTTGGCAAACCTGTGTTCTGACAACTTTTGTATTGACGCAAACACATGTTCTATCAAAGTTTTGTTCTGACACCCCTTCGTTCCGACAACCCTATGTTCCGAAACCCCAATGTGCCGGCGATCCTACGACAATCCTGTATGTTCTGACAACACTATTTTCTGACAACCTTATACGTTCTGTCAACCCTCTGTTCATACAACCATGTCTTCTGACAACCACGTGTTAAAAAAACCTAAGTCTAGACTACAAACCCAATTTTCTGAAAAGCCCGTGTTCCGATAACCCCATGTTCTGAATTGCCTGTGCTTCGACAACCCTATATATTCTGGCAACCCTGTGTTCAAACAATACATTTTACCCCCTTTGTTGTGAAAGTGTGGGATATACAACCAACGAACATGGATTTAATTAACCCTACATTGTGACATCCAGACTATAATACAGGCCACCTATTTACGATGATACATAAGTTAATGCTGTATGTACACATAAGTTTTGGTTAACTCTAACTATCTGCGCGTCTCTGTAGCGTATGGAATACGGGGTATCACCATGTAGCCCGTTGACTTCTGAATTCTCCCATTCTCATAGGTTTGATACAGGGGCCACCATGTTCCAGTAGGCAATGGGTTAAATACTTACGTATGGAATTCCAGCTTCGATCATGGATGACCAGACTTCCTTGACTCTTTCGAGGCTACCATAGTTCCATCGACTCAGTTGGAAACCTAGCGACCAATAAGGAACCATCACAGGTCTTCCTATGACCTGTTCAATAATAACGATATTTATTTAGTAATAATAACAACAACAAATTGATAATGAATTTGAGAACAATAGCATTAGTAAAGATGATGATGATGATGTCGATGATAATGATGATAATGATGACACAAATTAGTCATATTAATAATATTGAGTGGTTGAGAATAACCGCGTAACAAATCAAATCAAAGTTTAGACATTATAGATTAGTAAGTACTTGTATATTAAGAAAGCAAAGACGTACCCCCCAAATAAATCAAATTAGGCTTCAGTCCTCTTTTATTTGTGTCTTTTATGTATAATTTTTTTGTCTTTTTTGCTTATGTCGTTATTCTTTTGCTCCAATTCTAAGTGGATAAAATTTCGCACATTACCTCGCCATATTGTTGGATGACGTTCTCCGGTGTTGGACCGGTAAAGACGTAGAAGTCCAAAACCCCTCCTATAGTCCGATATGTTAAGGCTGGCGTCGGCTGCAGTACGATATCTATTCGAAATTTCAAAAATCACCGTCATTATTTTTGGACAAACATGAATTATAACTTTAAGCTACGTACACAAAAAGAGGGGAGAGGGAGAGAATTAGAGAGTACGGGAGGAAAAAGCTTAAATACCAAATATAATTATGTATGATAATAATTTGTGCGCAAGTGTTTGAATGCGGGATGGTCAGGGGGGGGGGAAGAGATAAAGGGGTATGAGAAAGAATAAACGGACATATATATATATATATTAATATCCATCCTTTTACATCACATTTAGGCTCATGCCACAGAAGGACTATTAACTTAATAAAATAATCAGACATACTGAATTCTTAGATGTGGTAGGTAAAAATCGAATTAAAAAAAAAAATTGTACCCAGTTACAATTTTGTTTGTATATGTCGAGGTGTTCTGTTCTGGTGGATAAGAGGATAAATCAAAAGGTACTGGGTTCAAATCCCTACCGCAGCACTTAAACGTCCTGTGGCACGAAATTAAGTTCCATTTGTCTTGGCTCCAGCGTAGTAAGTGGTTATCAGACACAAAGAGACGTTATACAAGAACATCATAAAACTATTTTTCATATAATTATTTGCTTTATATGGATTTGAATCTCTTACCCATTGCATTACTATTCATAAGGAAGACTCCATGAGCGTTTCCACCATCCTCAATACACATGTAGAAGGGATGATGACCGTACAAATTCCATGCATCCTGGGGAAATTATTAAAAAAACATCAGTGTACAAATATTTTAATTTTCATGAGTTAAATAGTCAAAACTGGTATGTAGGGCAACAGATGGAGCTGTTCCATTCAACCAGGATGTACTACGTTGCATGATAATAATAATAATAACACGTTCATTTTGTTCATAGTGCTCGTAATGCTGATTTTGTGAATATCGTGTTCACACTGTCCTACATTTTATTTGTTTTGGTGTGAAATAACGTGAACACAACTGCATATTACATAGTGTGTATGAAAGATAAAGTGAACACAGCACGAATTTATGCCTAACTGATAATAATGATTTTCAAAGCTCTTTGGAAACGCATAATGTAACGTACGCTATACAAATAGGAAATATTATTATCTGTGTGAACGCATTCAGTTCACAATCGTTTTTAATTGTCTATCTCCGTGTTATTCCCGGTTGTTTTTACGGTGGTAACCTACCACTGGGGCAACGTCACGTGTGAAAATACCCCAGGTCTTCCAGTTGAGGTCGAGGCGGAACCGGCGGTGGTTGTGCTCTCCGAACCCGTAGAGGTTGGACGACGGGAGATAAGTCGCAATCTGAAGAAATTGGTCCTCAAAAGTCAAACCACCCAATGAAGTATTGAAACTTTTAGAGAGAAAGAGAGAGTAAGAGGGTGATAGAGAGAGAGAGAGAGAGAGAGAGACATAGAGAGACAGACAGAGAAAGTTTGAGCGCGCGAGAGAGATACAAAAGGATAAAGAAAGGAAAGGGGAGAATGGGAGGGAAGGAGAAAAGAAGAGAGACAGAAACGGAGGGAGAAGGGGGAAGAGGTTGAGAGGTTGAGAGAGAGAGAGAGAGAGAGAGAGACAGAGACAGAGACAGAGAGAGAGAGAGAGAGAGAGAGAAGGGGAGACAAATATTAACCAAGTGTGGTCTTGTATTTTAGACATTTTTTGTGGACATTGCAATATTTAGTTTGACCATTTTTTCCATTGGAAACACATAAAAACACGACTCCTGGGATGGCGATCAAGCATAATTCCTTTATCTGGCATTACAGTGAAAAAGCAGTGATTTAAACAAAGAGTCGAACGATATTTCACATGGCAAATACTCACCAATATTTGCATAAAAACCCTGAAGATTATCGCTATACAACAATGATTTGAATTTGGATTTGGATTTGAATTCCGCCATAAATGGTGGAAAAGTCGGTCAGGGAAATATGCTTAAAAGACGGTACACTCAAATAAACATATTCCAAGGTAGATATAATTAAATTTATATTCTTTAATCTAAAGAGGACACTCTTAATTGTCTACTCCTGACACTTTTGTCTTCACTAATAACAGTTCTCGACTTCCCAATACTCCAATGTATCTATAGTCGTACCATATACTCCTATTTTTGACAGACCATACTAAGGCATGGTATCATTATCAATATGGAACCTCATAAGTTTTCCAATGGTATTTGTAGGGATTCTTTGTGTGAACTCGAGGGAGGAGTATGTAAATATGTTTTGACCACTTTGTTGACGTACGACCTTATAACCGATGAATTAACCGATGGATTACAGCATTAAAAAAAGCTTGCCAAGAAGAAGAAAAAATTGTCAAAAGGGAAAAAACTAACTTCGCTTTTTTTTCATTATAATGTATGCGTGTAGACGTGAATGTGTGTCTGGGTGCGTGTGGGTGTTATGGGGTGTGTTTGTGTGTGTGCGCGCGCGCCGTTATTGTACCTTTTTATACAATAATTGTGTGTCTATCTTTAATAAAGAGATGTGATTCGAATCGATCGCAACTTAATATGTCGCTTATTTAAGATAGCATATTGTTAACTTGCGATTGATTGGAGGACTTGCGATCAATTCCTATCAATCGCAATTCTGAAATATGAGAGTGAACATTTACGATTGACTGTAGGACTTACATTCAATCACATTTTGTTTTACAAGACAGGGCCGAGATCTGATTTGTCTCGCCCGAGTCATGATTTTGGTGTCACAATCAAATGGACTCCTCTTGGGGTTCGCCCTGAGGTAGGGTGATACAGGAGGATCCTTTAGCTAGATCAACTCCATTTTACCCGTGTGTCATCCCCCCCCCCCTTCCCACCCCCGCCCGAAGGAGCATAACACAAGCAAACTACATGTATGATATTAGGACTTCGAGGGTCTCCGACGCACAGAGATGCCCTAGATTCTACAACCGTATATTAACACCCCCCCCCCCCCCACTTGACGGTAAAATACCATACCTTTAAATGCAACTGGAAAAAATAGACCTTAAACAAAGCTTTAATTGGAGACTGCACCAGATTGGGTTTTCATTATGTCATATTCGGTGCCATTGGTTAGGAGAGTTTGGCCAGCACAAAACAAAAGAATATACGCCATGTTGTACCTAACTGAAACCAAGTTGGCCAAACTCTGTGTATAGATTGCTCTGGTCATATTTATATACTGCTTACATGGCTGTATTGGTGCTGATTCGGATGATCTGTAAACTGAAAGGATTCCTGGTATAGGAGACGTCATAGAGTGGGTTTGGGGCTTGTTCTTCTGGCGTCGGGACCTCTAGGGGCACCTCAAAGCGGGACGTCAGGGGATCTGATATCTTTATTACCAGAAGAAAGTGGAAAACATCAACAAGATTAGTAACGATGATGATGGTGATACTTATAAAAGTAGCAAGCACCATATTTATTATTTGTTATCATTAGTACTATTATTGTTTTCATTATCATCATCTTCAATTATCATCATCTTCATCATCCTCATCATAATGATTATAATAACAATGATAATAAAAACAACAAGAAGACAAATGAAAAAAAATCAACTAGTACATATACTAATAACTACAACTGATAATAGTAATACAAAGAAAAAGAAGAAGAAGAAGAAGAAGAAGAAGAAGAAGAAGAAGAAGAAGAAGAAGAAGAAGGAGAGGAAGGAGAAGAAGAAGAAGAAGAAGAAGAAGAAGAAGGAGAAAAAGAAGAAGAAGAAAAAGAAGTTAGAAGAAGAAGACGAAGAAGAAGTAGAAAAAGAAGAAGAAGGACAAGAAGGTAAAGGAGAAGAAGGACAATATCAAAATTAAACTGTCATTTCATATTATTTTTAGGATTAACGAAAATGCCTGGAAAAGCCATTGCTGTATCAAATAGATAAAATTAATGTAGCTTTTAACTTCTTTTCTAAAGTCCCTCTTTAGGTAGTTAATACATACGTATTACTAAACGTATTACCACTACTGACGAGTACCTGAGATAATTTTCCTCATGTGCTCTTGTACTATTAATTTCTTTACCTAATATTTGACAAAACAGAATCTTTTAGATCATCAAAATTGATTAAAATTAAGTTGCTTAAAAACTTCAATCTCTAGAATTTAGATTAGATTGATTAACAATAATTTAGATAAACAATTTGCCCTTTTTTAAAGGGGTTCTCTTTTTTTCTTACCTTGAAATGAAGACGTTCATCGGTCTGCATCTCAACCTCAATCTCGATGGTATCGGCCGCCATACCGTACCTCTGTGGCTTATTCTTCCTTCCCAAACGAACTTTCCAACCTAGTTTTGTCGTCGTTGGTTCACTAATCTATTCAACATCAAGAACATAGTTGATTGAGCGAATTAATTAATGAATAATGAATGTATTATTTATAAACTAAACTGATAAAAAGATAAGTGAAGACATAAATAGATCAGTGATAACGAAATGCAATACATAAATTGATTGATTAGTAGACTAACCAGTGAATGAAAACACACGACCGCAAATACTTTCGAGAAATGAACTAGAGATCAATTTCAATATCTTATGTTGTCAGGTCCTGTCAGGTACCTATTTAGCTCACCTGGGTCGAGTGTGGCTACTAAAAGGTGAGCTAAATAGGTACCTGACAGGAATCAATTCATTGAAATGCTAGGCTATTGAAAGCCGGGGTAATAATTTCCAAATTTGAAACCGCAGAGAGGTGTTTAAATGTGATATGCGCTATATATACAAGAACGAATATCAATATTACTCTTATTATCTATGTCATGGCAGCACATTGCTATAGCTGATGCACAAAGCCATTCGAACTGTTTTAGGTTGGTTTAATGAAAGTGTTGCGATCGTGTTAATATGAAATGTCTGTACCTTTCTTATCGCACTTTGTATAAATGTATCAAGTATGTATTTCATCTTTTGCACAAGCTGCGCCTTGAGCATTTGACTGTCAAGTGGATTTGGCGCCTTATAAATCATATGTATTATTATTATTATTAAATGAAAATGAAATTCATAAATATAAATCAGCAAGAGGAATACAATAATAATGATAATAATAACAATAATAGTAATGTGGGGTCTTGTATCCTGGCACATTGCCAAAATTGATTCTTGGCGCTCCATTATCATTTCCCCCAGCTTAAACACTGCTACCATTACAGCGCTCGAGCATTTTCAGGAAAATAGATTAAAACCTTGCCATAGGAAACCAGTGCTTCGACAGGGATCCGAACCTCGAACCTTATGGTATACATTCAGGAGACTTATCCAATTGACCACCACACCTCAACGACACGGCTGACAAATTTCTTTTAAATATTGTATTTATATCTTTTATTCCATTTTCCATTGTTATACTCTAGAACGAGAGACATCACGGCGCTGCACTGGAGCCAGGGGAATAAAAGGATTACTGCGCCCCACATGTGCTCCAATTTTCAAACCTTAAAAAAAGAGAGAAAAACCCTTTTCAGTGATATGCTATCATATACTCATTATAATGCTAATAAACCCGGTTTACTCAAGATAACAAAGTAGATCATGAAACGTGGAAAATAGAGATAGACATTTAAATATTTACGCGTTCAACATGTTGATAAAAACCGTATCATTCTGCTCAAAGCACCAGTGATAGTCTTAAAGGACTAACATTACTCTTAACAGATGACGATGCGTTACGTTTACTTTAAAAAGGAGATGAAAACATTTCATGAATTGTACACAACAAAGATTTTCATGGCAAGACAATTTCGCGAGTCGCAAAAAATCAATGCGTGATTTGTACGCAATTATTTTTGTGGCTTGTAATCCACTTGCAAAAATGTCCCTCTCTTTGACTTTAATCTTAACAGTCGACATTAACCATAAAATGAAATGAGTGGATTAATTAACAATCCATAATTATTTGACAAATGGAACATCACGAAATAGCACAAGAATTGCCAATAAATAAATTATTTTATAGAACCCGTTTTTCAAAATATATCGAGGCCTACAGGTAATTGTACATTTCAAGATTTCATCATTAGTGTTTTAACCTACATGCACATACTTCAAAAAGGGCAAAGGTAGTTATGTTGGGACGAAGTTTGAGATATTGTCTCGAGCCAAAAATGATAAACAATACTATCGTAAATATTTGTCATAATTTATTTTTAAATAAACCTATTAATGATAAGCAGGTGCATGATTCGGAAGCATGTGATCAGCGATCTACAAGAAAATTTCATGTCTCATCATTCCACAGATGACAACGAGATGGGAGACATAATATACAATTACACAGACAGAGAGAGAGAGGGAGAGAGAGGTAGAGAGAGAGAGAGAGAGAGAGAGGGAGAGAATTAGAGAGAGTTGACATGAATTAATGTTTCTGCTATATTATAACTCATTCATCTCCCTGTCATCTTTCTTTCTATCTTTCTTGTTCTCTCTCCCTATAAAGAGTGAGGGAGAGACAGAGAGAGACAGACAGAGAGACAGAGACACACACACACACACACACACACACACAGATGTAGACAGGGTTGCGAGAAAATAATGTTTCTGCTATATTGTTACTCATTCATCTCCCTCTCATCTTTCTTTCTATCTTTCTTGTTCTCTCTCCCTAGATATGGAGAGAGAGAGAGAAAGGTTGAGACAATATTTCTGCTATTGGTGTTAGTCTCTCTCTCTCTCTCTCTCTCTCTTCCCTTCCCTAATCCCTCTTCCTCCCAGGCTCCCTACCGATTTAAAAGCAAATCAATATAAAATATGGAAAACAACTTGGGTATGATTCACAAGCATATCGTTGAAAATGATAATCATCTCAATCTACACTGGAAATGCATAAAAATCCTGTCTGTAAGTAGAGTGAGCGTCGTATAATTAGATCTACTGATACATTCAATTATTAAAGAAAAACCCCGGGTAAAAACTTAACTTATTCTGAGAGATTTGTCATATTCTTGCCTACTAATCTACAAGATTCCCCACAAAAATGTATGAGAAAGGCACAAATTAAAGCAAGAATAATCTACAGTTTCTCAGCACGACATGGGCATCGCCATTTTCTTGGTAACGTGACGTACTATGTGAAGTCGTTTAGCAAGTGAATGTATAAACACGTATGGATATATGCTTCCTTCCCAGGCGTGTGTTGTGTTGAAGCATTTTATTCACCAGTTATTATTCGTTTTACTACAATTGCCAAAAAGGTAATTGCATAAATAGATTGGTGCTCTTCTGGGTTTATTAAATATGTAAACATTTTGCATATCTATTTGTATTTTTATAAAGAAAGGCAACATGAAAGTTTTTGTTTTTTATCGTAACTTATTTCATATTGTTAGTTTTACTTGTTTATCACTGTGCTTTATTTATTAAATTTGTTGTCTTTTTCTTCCTACTGTTATATGTATGATTTTGTTTTGAGAATTTGTACATATGTGTATTTTTTACTGAGACAGTGCCTTATGGAAGACCAGTTTTTAATCTGAATGAGATACCCTGTATAAATATGTGAAATAAATAAATAAATAAATAAGGGTTTCTCATAAAATGAAATAGATTTGTTAACTGCTATATTTCAGTATTTTTAAATGAATTAGTTGCAATAACTTTTCCCCTTTTATATATTTTTTCACCAAATATAATTAATATCTTTTCAGCTATGATTCTTTCTCATTGAAAAGTAAAGTTTTTGTTATTGATTTAAAAAGTCTTTCCAACTTAAGCTTGGTGCATGATACAAGTACAACCTTAACTGGTACGTCACATTTTTTAGACAACGGCTTCGCCCATGCCATGCTAAAGTAAACAAACATCACGTCATGCCAAGAATATCTTCATTTATATGTCTCTTGTACATATATCTATGTACATTATTCCCTACGAAAAAGTGCAAGAGATGTATTAATAAAGATACTATTGGCATGATGTGATGTCTTTTAGCATGGCATGGGCGCAGCCATTTACTTGAAAATATGACGAACCAGTTGAGGTACACTTTGGTGGGGAATCTTGTAGATTAATGGGCAAGAATATGATAAAATCTCTCAGAGTATTAAGTAAAGTTATTTCTTGGAGTGAATTTTCCTTTAATGTTACGTATTACAGTGTTCATGGAAATGGAAATGGCGTAGCACCACTGCACCCATTAATCAGAGGGGGTACTGATCTTATGGGGGAACTGTTAGGTTGATGGATTGCGAACTAACAAATCTACCGATTGGGGGTAAGGTAAGCGAGGGGTCTTATAATATTCACACTCCCTGTCTCTCCTTGTTTTGTCTCTTTCTCTCTCTGTCTCTGTCTCTGTCTCTGTCTCTGTCTCTGTCTCTCTTTAAAAAAGGCCAGTCAAAAGGCAAAAGGGGAACATGTCCCATGTCCCTTCCCCGCAGGCCTATAGCTAAACCACACACACCCATATTTACAGAGATGATTACATACCAAAAATGGGGATCGATAAAACTAAAAAAGGGTGATTTAATGCTCACCATAGCGTAACCGTAGTCACCATTTGGGTGGTAATAGCACCACGGAGCCCCCTCCACGTCGGTCTCACTCCACACACATGCTCTGTCCTCACAGGTCTGCTGCGACCCTCCAGCCTCGGGATAACAATCGAACCTCTCAATCCCAGGAATGTCGCGGAACGGCACCGCCCCGAGCTCACCGTCGTCCCAGTCGACGCCGTAATAGATGCTCAGGCCGATCCCCACGCCTACCAGGACGAAGACCATGACGCCCAGGGCTCCGAGCACGGCCTTGTTTGCCATCGTTGATCACGAAGTACTCGAATTTGAAAGCGTTTAATAGTGTTGTAGCCGCAGCCGTGCTGCGAGCGGTTTCGAGATCAGAATGGATATGTGCAGCACCCTATTTTCCTTGCGTCACTTTGACTGTGCGTGTACTTGAGATAAATGAGACAGTTACAGTTACAGATATCGAGTTGTATAATTCTCCGCTCGAATTGTGCACAAGACTGTGTTTAAACACCGATGAGCATGTTTATATCCCTATAACATAGCCAATGGCAAACAAGAAGATATAAAAAAGATAACAAATCCTGAAAATTGCCCGGACAAAGGTCAACGAGCCAGTAGGTACTCCATGTGATTGCATGCACTCTAATTTGAAGATAGGATGGGATATATCTCACGCAGGTGGTTGTTTATATAGGATGTGTAACCAGAGGCGTCGCTTGACGTAGTTTAGTCCCTTCGTTACCACACCATGCGTCATTTCGCTTGCGATATAACTTGCGCCAATCAAACATGTGAAAGCAAATAGCCCATGCGCCAGTGATTCAAAGCAATACCGTTCTTTATACATTCACTTTTTTTGTACAATATCCTCTCATAAAGCGCGTCAAAGACCGCGTCATGCAAAGACGCAGACCTACGTCAGTAAATGACGCCCCGTGTGCTACGCGCTTTGATCCTAAATCTGTTATAACAAGCCTAACCCCAGCTATTTCTACTATCTGAGCATGCAATCAACACATCTATAATACTGGTTAGAGTGTTTATAAAAAATATCTAAATGATTTTCTTCTTCTTCTTTGTCTAGACTAGAGCTTAAGGTTTTAGCATTCGAACAAGCAAATGGAAAATGTGCTATATAAATCAATTATTATATTGTTATTGTTATTATTATTATCATTATTACTATTATTATTGCTATGATTATTACTTTGAGCTTGTCATTCTTTAAAGAACCGCCACTCGTGATATGTAATTTTAAAACATAATAAACTGGACTCAATGTTCGCATTTAATCAAACTTGCTTTTGTTTGCATTGACTTCCCTCGCTTATGTTATCGCCCTTAATTACCAATATTATTGATTTTGGTGTTTCTGATTTTGGGTTCAAAGTCTACCAATTTATCTACATTTGAATTCGGATGCTCTCACCATAGTCAACTAAGATAATTGATAAGCAATTGCATGGTACCACTCAGAGACGTAGAAGGTGGGGAAAGGGGTGCTGCCCCCTCCCCAAGATATAATTGCTATCTAATATTCAGCAGAGACTGGGGGGGGGGGGTCACAAAGACTAAGATTGACTTTAAGTTGGACTTAACTATCGCAGGCTATTCATGCCACTGCTTGCTCTAACCAATTAGCACTCAATTATGATCTTTAGATAATATTTTGTCCTTTATTAATGAATTATCAAAATAAATTGAATTCTGTTGATTTTAACCATGATTTGTACATCTCTTGAGAGACCAATGCCAGTAAATGGTGAGAGCAAACAGTGGCATGAATGGCTTTTCATAGTTAAGCCCAACTTAAAGTCGATCTTACTCTTTGTGAAACACCCCCTGGTCAATATGCATAAGTTGTATCTTATTTACATGTATATGTGTAGTTTGTTATGTTAATTTAAATCTCAATCTGTTGTAGTCGCAAATACTTTTCTTTTTGGTTCTCGCTCAGTTCACTCGCTCGCAAACAAATTAAGTTCATACTCAGGTAAGATATACATGGAGTCTTGCAAGTCTTAGATAAAGTAGTTTATTCAAGTAGAGCTTTCGACACAGTAACCACAGTAATAATGAAAACATGGTAACTACGGCAGCGTAGAATATTATGTGGGTTTCTCTTTCGTTTATTTGCATAATACACAAGATAACTGAACATCAAATGAATGGCGCATAATCATGTCAAGTACAAAAGTTAGAAAATGAATAATCAAATTTTTGCAAAAGTTCAGAAAGCATTCGCTTATTTTTTTACATCCCTTTTTATTAGTACTTCTCAACATCCTTGCGTATTCATAACATGAATAATGTAAAACCAGTGACTAAGACATTGATCAGAACTGTATTTTTTTCTACAACTACATTCGGAGCAAGGAGAGGGCGTAGTTCTAATATTTGTATGTCCCTTTTCTAATGTAAAGATGACGGACATGCATCCACTCCATCTAATCTTAGAGGTGGTATATGAAATATAATTACGATTGTTCCTTTCTTTACAAGTTTCGGAATACATATGTGGAAACAGGGTGGATTGTTTAAAGATAAGGTTGAGTTCTGGTCATGCGATTGCATTGTGAAAGAAACAGTGTGGAATCGATCAGAAAAGGTTGATCATCTAGCATATAAGTATTGGTGTGTACTGCATGGTTCTGGAATCATCAAAATGATCAGAAATTTGGCCCAGTCTTGGTAAAATTAAAATCACTTTACGCAGAAAGATGTATATGGGACTACACGAACATGTGGCTTAAAATACGTCCCGATTGTTATGCAATTACATGCCATATTTAAAATATTGAGGCATTTGAAGAGCCATGCTTTACAGGGAACACTTTTTAATCTGATGGTCTTCCACACTTTCAAAATAACAATGATAATGCTCACAAATTATATTTCACCTCTTCGCAGAACTCAACCTTCTCTTTAAGATAGATTTACAATAATACCTCGAAAAGCTGGTCCACCCGAGTCGAGGCTTTCATCTTACCTATATTTTCTTACCGGGGGGACCATTGGAATATTCATGAACAAACTAAAAAAGTGTGCGTGTTGTAACACATTTTAGAGGTTTGACTTTTTACGATTGGTCTATAAACAATTTAGTACAGTATACTTGCTTTTAGCGGACAGAATGATGTAATGTACGATTTCACGAATTACTGTTGGTTTTTATGAACATTTTTTTAAAAACCAAATGCGTGAATTGTATTGGAACATACAATCGACATGACGCCTTGTCTACGACGGACATATTAAAAAGAAAAAAAGAGGAAAAAATTGAGACCTTCGTGAGTTACTCCGATATTTTGACTGCGTTATCGTGGACCAGTAATATATCGCTGGGTTTACAATGTTTATTTTGTATTGACTCTCTCATGTCGCGTCAAATGATGCGACAGTCACTGACGCAGTCACTAACGCAGTCCTGTGTCAGCAAATAGGGACTTTTAGATTTGCACAACGACAATGTGGATTGCTACGATCGACGTCCAATGCACTGCCTTGAATGGACGTCACACGTATCAGCCCACGCAAATCTAAAAGTCCCTAATGACGTTTCATGTACAACTTCAATTGCATGTAGCACTAGAGATACAACCATTGTATACACTCTTCTAACTGACGTAGTTTTTGGAACGACGGTAGCGACGACTCTGCCGTCTCTTTCGCATGCGACTGCAGACGCAGCATGAGATGACAGCTACCGCCATTGCGGCTAGAACACAGCCTACGATGAGTCCAGTGTTTGAATCATCATATCCCTGATCGGCCTCGCAATCGTGCTCTGTGGTAAAATGGAAGAAAGAAGACGGTGATAAAGTACCCATCTTGTTTTCACTATGATTTTCCCTCCTACATCCATTCTCTCTCCCCCCCCCCCCTCTCTCTCTGTCCGTCTCTTCTCTCTGTCTATCTCTTGTATTACTCCCAGTGTACGTGATTTAGTTCGACTTGTTCGTATGATTAAAATGTTAATTGGCGAACGCAAATTTATGAAATAACATACATTACAAACAATTGATGTATATGGGTCCGTAGTCCGTACTTCATTTGTCATTTTTGTCGCTCATTATTAATGTTTAAACCCGCTTTTACACATGTTATAAGAAATAAACTCAGTCACAAAAAGAAAGAGTAATTATATAAAATGTTGATATGCTTTGGTGACTTATTTCTTTCTTCGTCACCGTCATAGAATAGTCAGACGATCTATCGTATACAATGATGGTGTATACCTTTTCCGGGGTCTTCGCTGGTCGCAAACGGTTGCATTGTCTCGATCTCTGTGAAGGTCAGCGAAACATCGTCAATCATAACCCGCGATTCACACTGCAGGTAGTGACCGAGTGGAGTGCTGAACTCTTCAAACCCACTCTCTGTTATTTGTACGACTGAGGATTAAAGAAAGAAAAACATGACAGGGATAAGTATTATAAAGTATACGATATTCAATATACAATGTAAGAGAGACAGAGAGAGAGAGAGAGAGAGAGAAGGGCAGGGGGCGGGGAGATGAAATTATCGAAAAGAGTAAAGAAAGGAAATGAGGGCAAGAGACAGGGAGTATAAATGAATATGATCTTAACTGTTCTATATTTCATATTCAGTGGCTTTAATATTTCTAGATAAATATTTCAAATGTTAGAAAAAGCTAAATTCTTTTGGAGAGTAATGGCAAGTTCAAGTGTAGGGCGAGTGATTTAATCTCTGGACTTGAGATGCCGAGCTTGTGGGTGTCTAACTCTGAAACTCTCTGGCCCGAATTCACAAAGCAAGGTTTGAGCTCAGACCAAGGTTTGAGGTCAAACCTCCTTTTGTTTCGCCAAACCTCCTTTTGTTATTTACAAACCTGGTTTGTAAATAACAAAAGGAGGTTTGGCGAAACAAAAGGAGGTTTGACCTCAAACCCGGTCTGAGCTCAAACCTTGCTTTGTGAATTCGGGCCTCTACGTACATGTAAGCCCCAAACCAAAGCATTTTCTCTAAAATTCTTCTCTCCACACAGGTGTTGCAATGATACATGGTACACATGTACCAGGTAGCATGTGAATTGCGGCAGGAATGCGCAAAGGCTATAAACGGGGGCGCCATACCTGGCTAGAGCCCTTGCAGGTGGGGTAAAGAATGTACGCCCTATTATACATGCAAGTAAAAAATTAACATTTTCATCCGGTGGTCGGTTTAATGATACACTGTTTCGTGAGTTGATCAGTTGCTCTATTGGAGGGTTAATCTTAATGGTATTAATTTTTAATGTACAGGCCTTACATGATTACTATTTTAAATCAAACTGAGCTTTAAAGCCCCACTGTACTACGTATTGCTACATGTACTTGCGCCCTCTATATAGCAAACAATGGCTAATCGGTGCCAGTTGGTCCCCCATGTTCCTATTTTTCTTATGTTAATTGAGAGCTGATTTGATGAGATAACCACCTGTCAGTGACCTGTCAGGGAGGTCTAATCCCCCCTGGTCAAACTAGTACAGACGGGATTTAAAAGACGAACAATATTATTATTCCACATTTATTTGAGAATTTCAAAATACGCACAGCCTTTAGAGGTTTTTAGGTTGTAGAGTTCCACTATTATCTCCGACATCAACCAATCCGACTCCGTCTCGTTGAAACCGAAAGACAAGGTGACTTCGTGATGATCACCGAGGTCGAACTCGAGATGGAGGATGGAAAATGATTGACCACATACTGAGCCATCACTCAGGGCGTTAAGAGGTATGAAGGAAGTCTTTTGAAGAAACGGGAAAAAAAGAAGGGAAAAAAAATTACAATGCAAGGCAAGACAAGAAAGGACAAGAATAAGGGAAAATAAAGGAAACGAAAAGAATTTAAAAAAAAAGTATTAAAAAAAATGAAACAAAAAATGGGAAATAAATGAATAATTATAGGTTGAATGAGGACTGCGTTTAATTTTGTATTTATTGAGATACTTCATTCACTTTGAACCTTTTTTTGACAAAACGTAGGACGGTGTAAATGGATACAAAAATGAAAACGAGTGAAATGTTTATAAACAAACATAGGTAATGTTTTCTGTTTTCCAGGTTATGTTTTGTGTTCATCTGCCTAAATTTGTGGCATGAAATGTGTGGTTGTCATTGGAAAAATAAAATGTGATATAACTACGCAGTACTTACATCAATACCATCTGAATTGAATTCAATGCTAGCATTGAAGGTCATTATCATGCAGACACTGTCATCATGTTGAACCGTCCACGAATGCTGGGGGGGGGGGAAGAATAAGTATTTATATAAACCGTTGAATTGCACTCTCTTTTATTGTAGTCAGTTCAAAAGCAACAAAATGACCGCAACCACTAAGTCTGTCACCGGGAATTTTCCCACTCTGTGTTTGTTACGCCTTTAACGCACGAGGCGTCAATTGTCTACCGTAAGATTGCGTCAGCGAAGCGCCTTCTGGGGTAGTTCAGAAGCTGGCTGATGTTGATTCAAGCCGAAGATGACGTCATCCTCTAATTTCTACGCCCGGCGAAAAAAAAATCAGACTGGGTGTACGAGTCCGCATACAACGCCATCTTCGGCGGCATGAATCGAATGTATGGAATATTACTTTTAAACAATCTTATTAGACGGATTTCACAATATATTACTAGTGCATTATTGCCCCTGCAGGATTAATGGTATATAATTTCTTCTGAAATATAGGATGCGTAAACTGTTTGTTTCTTTTTAGGTTCATCTACAACGATAAGATACGTGACGATTTAAAATATAATTAAAACATACCTCCTATAAATATGAAAAGTGGGAAGAACCCTCTCTTTTAGGGGGCCGAGGTCCAACCCCCCCCCCCCCCCACTGGCTACTGATACAAGTGAATAAAACTTTAGAGAGAGTCTGTTCTTACCGTCTCTGGAACAATCAGTAGAATGAGGCAGACTAAGATGCCACCTATATTCACGAGCATATGATGTTAATGTAGAAACGGGGAAAGAAAAATGAAGAAAAAAAGGAAAACATGTTTACTATATTTTGTCTAGTACCATGTGTGAAAAATATTCCATTTATTCCATCTGTACTGTCAAATACCTAATCGATTTCAGACAGCCGTTGAAAACAAATTTATACGTCATGATTCCTGTATTTTGTTTGACCTCAAGTTTTATATAATAACGAACGTTATTTGTATAGCGCATATCGCTAACACAAAGAAAGTCCCTATGCGCTTAGAAAAGAAGGAAATAGAGATAGGGCAGAATAGAATATTCGTTGATTTGGATCCAATGTTAGGCAACATAAAGAATGCTATGGTTTCCGTTGCCTCCTGTAGTTACGCCATCGTTCCGAGTTAAATGACAAAGAGTGGATTTCAACTCTTGTGTGTTTAAAGGGGCATTACGGTGGATTCACCATCCACAGCGCCACAGCAGTGTTTAGTCGATGGCACGCGATGTTTTATGGGAACAGGTCGACACAAAATTCAGATGCAGCATTGTTGTATAGGACAAGGGGGTTTCTCAAAAGTCATGGAGGGGTAGATTTGAATAGCTATCCGAATAAATTTTGCGGTGATTCCAAAGTTACCTTATTGAGTCTACTCACGACGTTTTGGTTTAAACTGATTATTCCGGTCACTTTTGGTCATGGGTAATTTTTGTCTAACCGTTATTATTTGTAAAGGAAATTTCATGGCATTAATCTACGTAAAAATAAACCCTGATGCTAAAGAACCCCGGTGTCAGTGTTATTTAGGGTACGCATATGCTCGTTCCCTCTTTTTAAAAGCACTGCCAACATTTCCGAACCCCCCTTTCGCGGGCTTTTCGCGGGCTTTTCGCGGGCTTTTCGCGGGCTTTTCCTGCCTTGGAGACCCCCCTAAATACGGAAAAATGCTCAATGTACTCCCCTAAATTCAGAATAATTTCTCAAGAGTCAAAAGAGATGAGAGGAAAAAAAAAAAAACACCCCCTTTTTAAAGAAATCTCCGGGTAAAAACTCAAATACATCCTTTTTTTTTTTTACAATTCTCGGGCCGGACTTTGTCGCACGAAAAGTACCCCTTTACCGGACATTTTGGTAACACACATGCGGTCATTCCGACCCCGGAGTGGGGGGGGGGGGGGCGGGTAAAGAACGTGGTCGAATCGCAGGCCATCAACAACACTACTGTCACTTCGGTCAGATTTTTGCCAAACGATTACCATTTGGATTAATTTTTTACCACAATCAGGCCAAATTTTTAGTCACAATCATTGATGGGTAGGTTTTGACATCCAAATGCATTATAAAAATGTGCGCTGATATGAGAACAATCAATCTAATTAAATGAATTTACACACTTATAGGACCGCTTTGGGTGCCTGACAACTGCCTGTTGCAGTTTGCAGGTGAGTCCACCTTAATGGACCAAAGGCAGGCGCGTAAGCAGAATTTTTTCAAAGGGGGGGGGGGGGGGGTTAACAATGTCAAATTGGGCCGAAAATTTCGCAACGCCTCAGCCAGCCGCTGAATAAGCGCGGGGGGTAAGAGCACATTTTGTTAAATTTTTGTTGGTCCCGAAATTTGAAAATTTGACCGATCAACATTTCGTTCCGTTGGGGGGGGGGGGGGGATTCCTCCAAAACACACACACATAAACAAAATGAAAGGAGGCCCCCCTCCCCCTCCCCTGCGTACGCGCCTGACCAAAGGTCAACATTGACAAAAACTGCAATATAGACCTTTTGTTTGCCAGACACATCTGTAGGCCTATTGTTCTGCCCCAGTAAATAAAGACCGTTGAACTTTTTACCCGTTGCGGGAGATAATAGCATTTCAAACGTTAGAGTAGAAATGCACTGGCCAGGGGTATAGAGTCCATGATAGTAGGGACTTTTAGATTTGCACGTCAACAGCTTTGACTGCAACATGTGACGTCATTTTAAGACACTGCGCATGCGTTACGTCGTCTCAGTCGGCGATCGAGAATGCGTCAACCTTGATTTTCCTAAATCTAGTACATACATACATACATATTGATATTTATATAGCGCCTTTACATTGGGTAGTCAACATGCACTATGAACACGACTGACAATGAGAGCGGACAAAATATACAGTTCCTCAGGTAGACAAAGGAACATCCCTTCACAGCTATTATGTAAAAAGGTGAATATGCATGTGACACCTGTTCTACACATTTTTACATAATAGCAGTAAGGGATGTTCCTTTGTCTACCTGAGGAACTGTATATTTTGTCCGCTCTCATTGTCAGTCATGTTCATAGTGATGGGCAGTTAAGTACGTTGACACGCATGGTCAGTCGGCGTTCGTCGTGTTCTCGTCCACTCAACCTAAAAGTCCCTATTAACTGCATGATATACCAAGCGTAGCAGAGTGAGATTTGTGTCTAGCTGTACTCCCTACCCGAATTAAACGGAACTTTGAACCTCAGGTGTATATCTGTTTTGAACTCGCTCTATATTCGCTTGGTCGCCTTTTTTCAAATGCATATCTAGAAATCATATATAAATGACATTCTACAAAAAAGAGTAAGAAGCATATCACAGGAGGACAATCTATTGAAAAGGACTACTCTCTAAATGCCCTCATATTCGAAATAAGATGAAAAACAGATGAAAATGTTGATCCAAACGTTCATGTCACGTGTCTTCGTGTGTAGTCCCATGTAGCTAGTCCTACCAATTACGGTGTGCAGTGCAGTGCATGTGACTGTCAGTAAGACTGAGCAAATTTCTTTTTTCTGATGATTCCGTAACCTCCCACACTACCCCCACCCCTTCTACCAAAACTACAACCACCACTCGTTCCAAAAAAAGGCAAGTTGTTCATGAAAACTCCGAAACCCTCCAATAATCTCAGCCATGTAATAGCCACTGGTATTTTATGATATAAGCTCCAGAAAAAAGTTTGGGTGCTTTGTGATACGGGGCCCTCTAACATCAATACGACCTCAAATCAATTATTGTGAAAATATCTCATCTCCATTCTTTTCAACATTGATCGTGTATTACAATGAATCGTACATTACTGTTACAAGAAATTGATCGTAAATTCCTGCTGACACTCCAGTTACAAATCCGACACCAACACCAGACCTACTAGGAACCAAACAGAAATGTTTTAATAACTCGCAATGGCCAAAGTTCATTGGTTAGGAGTCGGTTTTGATGTGTAACTGAGGTACAATTTAAAAGAAACGAATGACTGATGTAAATATATACTCAATTTGAGGGGAATATTACAATTGATTGTAAATCCTGTGTTGGAAAGCTAAAAACAAAAGAAGACCTACCTGTCGCGGTTCCTAGCTCTTTTAGCATTATTGCTTCACTGGTAAGACAGGATCTAATTAAGTTAATATGCCTTTGTATATACAGCCAAACAGTCAAAAGAAGTCCAACATGCCCTACGTTTTCTCGTCCACTACAATATTACAGTCTTCGCGTTTAGGCGCGGGTAAGTCAGAGATAACAGTTGGACCCGATACAAAGTTCTCACTAATAAACCTTTGATACCATTTATTTGCACACCTAAATTATTTCATACTCGTCCTTACCAGTATACCCTTTTGATGGCATATATTAACTTGAAATGAATTAAGACCGTTATTCTCTTCAACAAAAACTATAATTAACATTCGTACATCCAATCATATTTTCTTTGCTGTAATGAGCCTACAAGACATTTAGCGGCTGTTGATATCATATATCGGGGAACCGCATTTTTGCAGTGAGTTCTGCTTCCTACAATATGTTTGCAAAGACAATTATATCCCTCCCTGGTTTTAAACGGCGCCCTTAGACCATTTGTCTTTATAATAATAATAATTTTCTAAGATGGCTTGCGATAATTACAGCTATCAGGCCATGGTAATAAAGTACACAGACGACTCCGACATGAAATGGTTTTCATCCTAAATTTTATTGCAGATTCCTCAGTAAAATGTTATGCTATAAAAGATGCCACCGACCGATTTTTGAAAATATGTACCCAAAGTGCCCACATTTTATGTCTTGGGGGCCTTATGCATTTTATGAACAAATATTTGGGATGAACATTTTTTCGTTTGGTGTAGAAAACCCACCATGAACAGAATAAGGCTATCTGAAGGTTCGCGTCATATCAGCATAATATTGAACCAATATAATAATTGCGCACATCTTCACACGTTTCATAGTCGAAAACATCTAAATAACCGATAATGTAGACATCTGGACGGGAACCCTTTGTTGATAGAAGGCTAGCATTTTTTTTTTTGATCAATTAACATTTCGTTCCGTTGGAGGGGGGGGGGGGTAAGGTCACCTTTTTTAGGTCATCTATTAGCATAATATCTTTTTTTTATTATTATTATTTAAAAAAAAAAGTTTTTAAAAAAGGGGGGGGGGGCTCTCCAAAACACACACATAAAAAAAAATGAAGGTGGGGTTTAGCCCCCCCCCCCCCCTGCGTACGCGCCTGAATTCAAAAAGGTGACTCGCGTCACTGTCACGTGAACAGCGAAATTATAGGCCGATTTCTTTTCTTACCTCTTTTTCCAAAAAATTAGAAAAAGTTGTGTATTCACGAACTATAAATTTCCTTATACAACACAATTTACTTAGCGATGTTCCATTTGGATTTAGAAAAAAACACGCCACAAGTCATGCTATGTTTAACACGCATTAATAAAATTGTTTGTGCAATTGATAACTCTTCTCACACAATCGGTTTATTTCTAGACTTATCAAAGGCGTTCGATACTATTGACCATACAATTCTTCTTAATAAACTGTCTCACTACGGTGTCAGAGGTTAGTAGCTACCTTTCAAACAGAACTCAATATACCTCTGTAAATAACTTCCAGTCATCAATTAAAAATATTACCTGTGAGGTGCCTCAAGGCTCTCTTCTTGGCCCTCTTCTTTTCATACTATATATAAATGACTTCAAACGATCATCTAGTATTTTAACTTTCATATTATTTGCTGATGACTCTAATATTTTTCTCTCATGTCATGACCTCCAAACTCTCCTAAATACAATTAACTCGGAATTAGTTTTGGTTCAAAGTTGGATACAAACCAACAAACTATCATTGAATATTAAAAAGACAAATTATATGATATTTAGCAACACTACTGATCATCTTCCTGGTCCTATTCAAATAAATTGTATCGAACTTGAATGTGTTCAAAGTACAAAATTCCTTGGAATTTATGTTGATCGTAAATTGACATGGAAAGTGCATATTAATTATTTATGTAAATTATTATTAAGAAACATTGGTGTCATTAATCATGTTAAAAATAGTACATTTCCTTTACCGGTTTTATCATCACTGTATACAATCCTTATTTTACCTTACCTAAATTATGGAATTTTAGCATGGGGAAATCAACTTATTTTTACAAGAAAAAAAAATCTTGAAATTAATGATTCGTATTCTTGGTACCTCGGTATTTTTATGTTCCAGCTGATTAATACCGAGTTACCTCTCCCGATTTCCTCCATTTTCCAAAAAATAACGAGATACATTCATACCCCACAAGACAGTCGAACCACTTCCACACTCCTCGAATGAGAACAGCTTTCGCACAATTATTTACACCGGTCCAGTATTTTGGAATAACATAGATTCATCTCTTAAACAAAGTACCAGTCTATACACATTAAAAAATAAAAAAATAAAATAAACTTTTAAACACATATACATGATCGAATATCGGTTTGTTTGACTCTCGGCTCAATCTCTTTTTATTCTTCCTCATTCTACAGCTCATTTTATGTATGTTATAACCAAAGAAAAAAAAGAAGAAGACAGTATATGTCACTCATTAGTGTCTGGCAGTGAAGTTTAGAAAGTAAACGGGTTTCCTTGCATAATTTGAATATAATAACGCTGTTAACGTTTGAATTTCACAGACATGCGTAACATGTTCATAATTCCTTCTTCAAAGTTCTACAGAATTTGATGTTGGCTGCAAATGGGACATAGTACCTTTAACATGGTCAGTATGTCGTGACAAAATCTTGTCAGTATTCCCTCCATTATAATTTACTACTGAAGATGTTTTGACTAAAACAGTTGGCACATGTTGCCCTAAAAGAATTTAAAAGAAAATCATGCTTGAACTTACTTCATTCCTACTGAAAAATATAAATCAAACTGAAAAGTTAGGCCCCATTTTATAAAGAGTTGCGATTGATCCGAATTAATTTCAAGTCCTCCAATCAATCGCAAGTATATAATATAGTCTCCTATCTTTTATTTAGGCCTACATTGTTGCGATTGATATCAATCGCAAATATGCTGCGATTAATCGCAACTCTTTTTAAGACGGGGCCTTGTTTCTTTGTATACAAGAGAGGGAGAGAGACACACACACATAAAAATACTTTGGGAAGGCGAGTAGAGAGATGGAGAGAGAGAGGGGGGAGGGAGAGAGAGAGAGAGAGAGAGAGAGGATCGATAGCACAATATCGTTCATTCTCAATAACAACAGCATACACAAAATATATACACAGCAGAGTAATACCAATACAATTCAATACAGAGCATTTAGAACAAAACAATATGAGAATGAGAGGCCATAAAAAAGAACAAATAGCCTTTAAGTAAGTTGGCCCCAAAATTGAACAATACATACATAATTATAACAAACAAACAGACAAACAGATAGAACAAAGAATCAAACAGCATGCAATATATAACATTTCACATTATGAAAACAAACTTTAAAGACGGAATATTAACGGCGTTTAAAATAATTCATTGATGGGCTGGTTTCTATAGCAGGGAGGAGATTGTTTTTATAGAGAAGGACCTTTAACAAATATTGAGTTATGGGAAATAAAATTTCACAATGGAGAGAGAAAAAACCCGGGATAACAGAGAGAGAGGGAGGGGGAGAGGGAGAGAGAGAGAGTGAGGAAGAGGAGGGAAGGGGGCGGAACAGGAGGGAGAGAAATAGACTATATAGGAAATACAAATTTTGTGGTCATGGTGATTGAGAATTTTCGAAAAATAGAGAAAGGGGAGAGAGGAAGAGAGATCACAGGGAAAGAGAGAGAGAGAGAGAGAGAGAGAGAGAGTTACTTATGATGGAGGGAGTATGGAAGTAGTTCATACATGCGTACATGCAGTGGACCTTGTTGTTTACCCCTTTGCAAATTCTGGGAATATACTCGAATGTTTTCGATTATTATCTGCGGCCACTCAACCCAAGGCAACACAATGCGTCACAAATGCACAAAATGAACTTCAATTATTCTCTACCATATGCCATTCAACAAAACGGGATTCAGGGACAATCATCAATTTTGTTTTTCGTGAATCGATACACAGTTGTCGAGTGAGAGATAAGATATGTTGCTATTCACTGGAAATCGCATTCACTCGGTTTAAACTTGTTGCATGTGTCTGTATTAACGCAATAATCATTCACATACTGTATTCGCCAATTCCTACATGCATCCTCACTTTGAAAAAAATGGCTAACCGGCGGCGAATTGTGGTTATTTTTACTCTAGGAGTCTTGTGTTATGTTAGCTGGACTTTGTTATCTGGGTACTTGGGTTTCAGTACGGTATATCTGCAAAGCACCAAGTTCGACGTCAGCAGATATAAGAAAGGATTCACCATTGGAAATAAAACGCATAGAAAATACACACCATTCGATGGATCGTGGAATAGTTCTTTTGTAGCCCCGCAACTCCATCCTCATTACGACGTCAATTGTTCGGCGTTGGTTCATAGGGACAAGAGTGTTGTTAATCAGACAAAAAAGACGCTGGAGAGTTTACGGAAGAAGGGTAACTTAGTACCATCGAACAAGGATGTCAAAGCTTTTACGACGAATTGCGAGGATTTTAAAAGACAACGAGCATATCCGACTTTCGCGCGTTCAGAAGAAGAACTTGACTATCCTATTGCTTATACGATCGTGGCCCACACGACGGCGGCACAAATTGAGCGCCTTTTACGCGCCATTTATCAACCACAGAACGTCTACTGCATACACCCGGACGCTAATGCATCGCTTGATTTCCAACTCGCCGTGTATAGTTTAGTGAACTGCTTTCCCAATGTCTTTATACCGTCCAAAGTAGAACACGTTCAGTACCGAGGAGTTACGCGTCTTCTTGCTGATATCAACTGCATGAAAGACCTACTTTCCCTTCCAGTCCAGTGGAAGTATGTGATTAATCTGTGCGGACAGGACTTCCCTCTGAAAACCAACCTGGAGATTGTCCAACAGCTTAAAGCTTTCAAGGGCATGAACGAGATTCAATCTGTGACACCACCTCCCTGGAAGGTTGCCCGTACCGAGTACAAATTCAAGTTTCTTTCAGGCTACGAACTTCCTATCGACACCGGCATTAGAAACTCACCACCCCCGCACAATATTAAGATTTACACCGGCAATGCATACGGTGGGTTTGCGAGGTCTTTCGTGAACTTCGTGATCAAAGACCAGGAGGCTGTTGATCTTCTCAGATGGATGACATATACCTGGAGTCCCGACGAGAACTACTGGTCCACACTGCTCCAACATCCCAGAGCGACACCCGTCTGGGGAAAGGGTCCGACAGAAAGACTTCTGGTCAAAATGATGAGGTGGGGAGACGTGGATAATCATCCTCCATGTGACGGGAAATACGTTCGGGGTCTGTGTATCTTCGGTGTAGGATACCTATATCATCTTACTGCGGTTCCTCATTTATTCGCCAATAAGTTCTACTATAAGTATGATCCAATTTGTCTACAATGTCTTGAGCAGCTCTTGGATTACAGGGCCAACTTTCCTGAAACTGTGTCTGATTTTGTCGCAGATTTTCCCGTTAGGGATTAAAAATGCTCTCTGCACAAGAGGCGTCGATCCGTACGCGTTTTTACCTGCACTAATTAGTCCTTTGAAAGACAATCAAACATTTTGTTTGCCCCATTCATTGTGCATTTTCTAGTATTGGCATGATACCACACTCATGCATACGACGCATCTACATTTGCCACACTCAACCTAGGTGATGTAAATGGGTACCTGGCAGGAATTAATTCCTTGAAATGCTAGAGCGCCGCAATTGCAGCACAGTTAAAGCCGGGGTAATAATCTCCAAGTTTGGAAGCGCTTAGTGATTGTAATAAGTGCTATATAAAAACTGAGTATTATTATTATCATCATCAAGTGGCTGATGAAGTCTCACGTTATACAAAAAGAACGTCTTGGGTGCCACTGGCGTAAACATTCACTTACCGGATTTCGGATTGCGTTACACATGCGCCATTCGTGGCGCCATTTCAAGGCAGTTAGCCCATACACCACTTACTTAATACTGTAGTTCCATTAGGCTCGAATGCAGTTCATTACACTGTTGCTCCTAAGTTAAAGGGGGAGTCAAATACATGCTAACGCAGCTCTATGTCAACAGCAAATGACGCTTAAGATCCATCCTCTCCTCGGCGTCATTTTGCTGACGTAGGTGGGCGTCTAATGACTTGTGGTCATGTGTATGTGACATTGTATATTAAACAAATAATTGCAAGATGAAAAGTGCAAATATTGCTTTTAATAAATGACGTATGCGCGAATTTCCCCCTTGCACTGGTTCAATTAGCGCAGGTATTTTAAACGCAATCGAAATGACGGCTCATGTGCAAATGGATTAATGAAAGAAGCCTGCTAACATATCAATATGATCTTAGGTTTTCAAGTGGTATCTAATTAACGTTTCTATATCTGAAATTTCGTGCAAAATTGCCGGTTTCACAATTCAAGAGATACTTTGTCTTATTTTTTTGACTGCTAAGAAAGCATGTGCATGATTGTAGCTGGGGAACCGACGGCTTCAATCTTTGATAATATATATATATTTTTATATTTATGCTTTGTAAACAATTTTTGCGTCTCCAGTGTGAATCTATGTTGAGCCAAAATCGTCACCTTATTTTGTATTTGAGCTTGCGAAGCTATAAGAGGATATTTTCAAGAAGTAAAAATATCTTTAAACTGATTATATTTCACCTGCGTGTGCCTTAAAAATAGATTTCCGTCTATACGTGCTATACGATATCACAAATATGAAACAGTATTTTGTTGAAAAAAGTCCAAATTTGTTGCGAGGATACCGAGAGATGTGTAAACATGTATATACTTATTTTAATCTGTGTTTGTTTCTGTAACTATAACGAGTATTATTGCATTTTTTAAATTCACCTGGGGGCCCCCTTTCATAAAACTTGTTATCTATAACAACTGCTAAATTTCTATGACAAATTCGCTCTCAGCCAATCAGAGGCCATGATTACAGTAGCTTATAACAGTAGCTTGAAACGTGTTATTGATAATAATGATAATACATAAGATTTATAAGGCGCCAAATCCACTTGACAGTCAAATGCTCAAGGCGCAGCTTGTGCAATAGATGAAATACATACATGATACGTTAATACAAAGTGCAATAGGAAAGGTACATACATGAAAGGTTATGGTAATATGGTAATATTGTACTTTATTGATAAAAAGTTTGATGAAACAGGGTTCTGGGCCTGGCCTTTGTATTTCCGTCGTGGGGGGGGGGGGGGGGCTTCATATTTTCCTGTATCTCTGGTTGCTGCGCCGGACAGGGTTGGAGCTTGTCAGGCGTAGCAACGGTGCATGCAGTGTGAGGCTTGGCGGGAGGTGCTCGGCTCTTGTACGGGTGGACGAGTTTGCCTGTCCGGGGTGCGTCATTCTTTTCCTGCGGCACAGATTGGGGCTTGTTTTTAAAAAGAGGTCTTGATTTAACCCGAACCCTAACCCTAACCCTAAACTATCTATAGGCTCAACACGCACCTAACCTTAATCTGTGCCGCCGAAAAAATAACGCGTCCGGGGGCTCGCTGGGATAGGGCATGCGTAGGTATTGAGACGGTATGATTATGTAGATGCTTTTTAAAGAAATCCCCCCCCCCCAATGTATGTTTACTTTAAAGTGAACCAGTAACAATGTTGAAGGTTGATGAAAAAATGCATAATTTTTGTGTGAATTGTCACTTGTTTATATTTCTTCTACTGTAGTACCTACTGACATGCAAAAAATCCAGACAAAATTCTCGAACCACAAAGATATTTATGGTGTTCTTTAATAGTAAATTCTCCCAACCAGTTTTTGAATTGTTCCAACCGTTTTTCCATAAAAATAAGACATAAAACAGGCTATTAAAACCCTTTCAACACTTAAATGTTTAGAATGGTATAAAGAGCCAATTCATTGCTTTGTGACGATTTACATTCACCTAAAATTTAATTCAATTATAATAATATAGTTGGGAGAATTTAGGAATCGATCGGATCAGTTTTTCTCAATTGTTATGATTAATAATGGTCTGTTTTCATTATCTTTAACTGTACATTTAGCATTGAAGTCACTACATTAGCACCATTTCTCTCATCTAAACAATGTTACCAAGTCCCTTAATGGTTTTGTCTTGTGTTTTCTAGTTAAATATGTATAATATTTAGTCCTTTTTGTCTTTTTCTTATTTCATAAACTACGATGTTTATAATGCATTGAACTTTTTAAACATATCTTTCTTATCACACCATGTCAAATTATCGACGATCTTATTGATCTTATTTTGTATGGGGCCTATTCTTTGCAAGCATTGCTTTTTATTAGGTTTCGTTACGTTTAACTATCAAATAAATATTTTCATATATGTGCGGGGAGCTGTCGGTGTCAGGGGTTCTTGCATATGCTAGGGGCGTGGGTTCTTAAACTTTTTCCTTGACGGTGATTTCCATGAAAGCTATAAGGTACGAAACAATGGGAGCATTTAGTTTACCTAATCAATTATTTCAAGAATTATAGTTTTGTGATACTATACATGCGTGTCTTTACACGTATCTTAATTTCGAGCATTAAGATAGTCAAAAGTGGAAGTTCTAGTGTAAATGTAGGGTACATCAGTGAGAAAAGTAGCACTGTTTTCAGGTTATAAGCTGCTTAAACATCGGCACAAATGGAGTGATTACAAGACGAAGGCATTGATGGAAATGTCCAGACAAACTACTTCTAAAATTAACACTAACGGCACTCGTATACTGAAAAAATGTAATGCTTGTGGTTTGGTCTATATCTGATCTAAGTGGAATCGTTACAATTTAACCCTAAAAAGGCCGGGTTATTTTAGTATTCAATTCAATTCAATTCATTTCAAATAATTTTATCCCCAAAACTGGAAACTTGGGAACTCGGCCGTGGAATTACGAACAATTATTAAACGTGGTATATTGATAACTTGATAATTGATATTCGTCTTTTTACTACCATAATCATACATAACCTTTTTCAGGTAGCACTTATGTTTTTAAGGATAAAGATGAGTTCTGGTCATGTATATTGCATTGGAAAATAAACTGTGTGTAAACGATTGGGAAAGGTTGATCACGTAGCAGATTTTGAATCAAAGAAATGATTAGAAATTGGGCCAGTCTTATTAAAAGCCAAATGCTCTGATACGGAAATGTGTATATGTGGTCCACAACCTCAAGCTAATACTTGTCATATGACGAATATAAATGAAAGCATTTGAAGTGCCTTTTCATTGGATAATTTTTGGTATTGAAAAGCAACTATCTATTAAAGTTTTCGTGCTAAAAGCCGGTATCTTCAAATATTGTTGTTTTCGTAGTTGTTGATTTTGTTTTTGTTTTTGTGTGTAGTGTATGTGTGTGTCTGTTTGTGTTTGTGTTTTTTTTTGGGGGGGGGGGTGGGGGGGGGGGCTTCCGACATTCTAAGACAAACAAATAGTACTATCGGACAATCCAACTACTTTTATCCCCGACTATGCCTAATTGTTAAGTGGGCTTTTTTAATTCCAGAATTTTGGCTCTCTGCTGCTAGGTTACGCTTTTAGTTGTTTCAATGTATTTACAGGGAGTACAGCCTAATGATTTGATTTTGATGATCGGAGTGTACTTGCTGGAGTGTTTTTTAAGATTAAGGTCCGATTCTCTCTATATATATTAAACTATCTTTTGCTATTTCTCTCACTTGCTTTTTCTATCTCCTGTCCTCCCCTCACACCTCACTCCCCCTCTCTTTCTCTTTCTCTCTCCCGCTATCTCTACCTTTTGCTCTCCCTGTCTCTCATCTGTCTCCTTTCTCTTTTGATCCCTTCTTTTAATCTCTCTTTGTTTCTTTTCATCTCAACTCCCTTGTTTTCTTTTTTTCTCTTTTCCTCTCTCCCTCTCTCTTCCCTTGTCATGCTTCTATGCGATCTTTCTCCCATCTCTCCTCTTTCCCCTCCATCTTTCTATGTTAACTATTATTATTATAAGGATAATCAAAATAATCAACATTTATCTATCATGGTATATTCTCCCAGCTCAAAGGTTCGTTGCAGCATGTTTATGCACATCTCTTTTCTACCATTCTGGGGCCCGTTTCCCAAAACTTGTTATCTATAACAACTGCTAAATTTCTATGACAAATTTGCTCTCAGCCAATCAGATGCCATGATTTCAGTAGCTTATAACCGAAAGAAGCTTGTAACTTGTTATTGATAACGAGTTTTACGAAACAGGGTCCAGGTGCACTCGTGCAAGGTTATATTCTACTCCAGGTATTGTGACGAGATTCCAATGTTTGATGTGAAAGTCTTGAAACAAGACTTGTAGATTCTTCTAACCAAAATTTCAGCATTTAGTTTCGTGATAACTTTTTTGGTAGTCCTGCATTCATGGAATTCATGGTGTTCAGAAAGGGGATCTTCCCAGTTGGTTATTGGCTACCCTCTTAATCAAAAACCTTCCTTTTTCATTTTCTTCAGATCTTTGGAGACTAGACCGTAAAAACAAAAACAACCAAACTTTAAGATCTATTTGTCTTTGACTGGAATGATGAACATTCGGTTTATTGTTTTGGTTCATGGCGAGTACAAGGGAGTGATAACATTTATTGCGAAATCTGAACAACTTCTTTTTCTTTATTTCCACACCACCAGAAATACAACAGGTAAAACATCACATGACGCATTAATCGTCAAACCACCAAAGAGGGCGCAGTATGGAAAATACCATAGCGCATTGAGAAAGAATTCCGAGACGAAGCTCCGAATAGTTCCCTCACACATATAGGCCCGAATTCACAAAGCAAGGTTTGAGCTCAGACCAAGGTTTGAGCTCAAACCTCCTTTTGTTTCGCCAAACCTCCTTTTGTTCTTTACAAACCAGGTTTGTAAAAAACGCGTAAAACGCGTCATATGACGTACGAAAACGAAGGTTTGTCGACAAACCTCCTTTGTGAATTCGGGCCCTTATCTATATAGGAGGGAATTGTTTCGAGCTCCATGAAATGAATGACCAATCAGGAAAAACTTCCGGTGACGTAACTATCTCTCTCAACGAGCCACGGAAGAGTTGGCAAACTCGGTTCTATGCAGTTAGACACACTATAGCACATGCTGTGATGTTGGGAAAGCACGTTATGCCCGTCGCACACGATGCGTCGTTTCCATGACGTAGGGCTGCGTCAGGAATGGTCTTTGACGCACCATGCTAGAAAGAGATCGTACAAAAAGTGAATGCAAAATCAAAAGTGCAGTCATAACTTCGAATTACAGCCGAATACGCTGGTCTAAGATGCCTTTTAAGGCTCTCTTAGCGTAGGCAGTACGGTGATCAAAATGATGCATTGTGGGCAACGGGCACAACACGACAACATCATTGCATCCGACTTTGTCCACAAAATGAGATTTGTGTGAAGCAGGCTTTGTTTCTAATTACGGAACACCTACCGGTCGGTTAACTGATAACATGAATCAAGATATAACCTTTTACTGATAAAATCTGATTTTATTGCACGGTGCTGCACTAATCACATAATATCACGATAAGCAGGAACATTTACGAGAACTAGGTACACAAAATGTTTAACATTTCCCTTTTTAAGTGTTATGGAAATAATTCCCTGTGCCACAATGTATTTCGCATGACAGTCATAGCTATATCATGAGTTTTCTAGATTATTTGAATGTATCCAGGGCAAAATGAATCTATGATATGCCTACATGATTGTGTTAAAAGGGACAGGAAGTGAATTATTTCCAGCAAGTCTTTCGTGCTGCAGAAAGCCATCATTCTGTTAATTAATGAATGTTTTTGTGTCGATTGGCATGCGTGGCAAACGAGCTACTGTGCCAATTGGCACTGGTGGCACAAGGAAGGTTAATACTACATTACTCCCAAAATCCATGAAGAATTGTTGTGAGAAATCTGATCATTCGTTCATAGAACCGTCCTAAGTAGGCCTACACATGAATTAAGTTTGCCGACTCGTCTCATTGTAGCGCGTATTTATAATGATACATGCCTGTAAATTAGCTGTAATTTTATACTTTAGACAGTTTGGTGAAGCAATGACTTTAAAGGCCGGTTCAGATATGACGCGGTGCCGATGGTGATTTTATTTTCTTGAGGATATACATTAAGATGCTTGCCTTTCTCCAACCATGTGGCAAAAACAATAAGTGTCCATATATCTGAAAACGATTCTCTTAAGTTTCTTTGGATGAATTTATATGCACGATGCCACATAACAAATAAACAAATATATGTGTGTAAAACTATCTTTGAAGCCTACTTGCGATTTAATCAAAATTCCTCTACAGACTGCTGATAGTAAAAACGAAAGCCGAAAATGTTTGTACTTTTTCAGATTGATATGACACTGACATTTATTAAACACAAAGCAAATTGACTGAAATTAATCATTAACATTTATTAGTATTGAAGAAGAAAAAAAAAAAAGATTTTCACGTTCATTCCATTCTGCACGACAATATCTTGGATCACCACCTCGGCACTCACAAGAAAAAAGGAAATTGTGTTTTTCTTTCCCCGCGAAGCACGGCAATGTTTTAGAAATCATAGATCTTTTGTAGTGTCGTTTTCTTACTTATTGCAATATAGTATGTATGTTTGTTTAGCCAATGCAGATAATGTATATATGGTTGTTTAAAATGCCTAAGTATGCGTTTTCTTTTACATGTTTCTCTTCCAATCTAAACGCGAACACTGACTGCAAATGAACTTGATTCTATATGTGATGAATAAAAATTTTTTTAAATCGGAAATCACTGTATAAGCGGAAGCTGCATTAACATGCTGCAAATACATGTATATTGAGTAAAAATGTCCGAAACTTTAAACTTATGACACAATAACTATAACATTACACCACGCATGAACAGTGGATTACGCAATCTAAAAAATCTATTGAATTGATGATGAGATCGAAATCAAAATAATTAATAATCGAACACCTGCCCTTCTTCGTTGCAACGAGCCAATAATTTTACTGATCGAACAAACAGGACTGATTCGTATAATGATTGCACGATTCGATATCAATGATAAAAATACAAGAATGATATGACTTTGATAAATCTTTATAAATATAATAAGAATAATTCTAAGACAGACATAGATCGCCAGTCTACAACTATATATACATATTTTGAAGGAGTGAGACAGAAAAATAATGAAACTTGACTATGAAATACGGGGCTTTCCACACAAGCGCGCGTGGATCCGAAATCGTCAACAGGTGTTGTGTACGCGGCGTTTCTACGAATACGCACAGTTGCTGCGCGAGAGTGGTGCACGACCAAAGTGTGCGCGTCTTGCACAGTGGTGGGTTTCGATGTAAGAAATGAGCACCACTCTGGATTTTGGATACGGCCAGTTTCCTGCGGCGATCGTGTGAGCAGCCCATGTCTGGGATGTGTTCTAATCGCTAAGCAGATAATCCAACACACAACGGTCACTACACAGGGAGAGTGTGACGTCTGGCGCTGTCCTGTCGCTGGTGGCAGCCAACCAGAAGTACTTCGCTCGTTGCATGCACTCAGGATCACCGTCACACATTGTCAGCAGCTCGGCTTTGTAAATTTCGTCACACAGTTTTGTTGGAATTTCATAAGATGCACTCTGTAGGGAAAGAAAAGGATATTATGAGCGATCAAGTCTGAATTTATATTTTTCATGCAAAAGCGCGCATGAATATATGCTTAAGTGATTTAATTATCGTTAAAAAAACAGTCAGAATACAAACCATAATAATTATATGTATGATTTCTGTTGTTGGTTAGGCAAAGTAATGGACCTATCGGAGCTTCTTTCTCCTTTCAAATCAAGAATTCAAGCAGCAAATGGTAAAATCTCTCTATTTCAATGTTTTGGTTTGCTACCCCCTATGTTATAACGTGTTTTACAAAATCGAAATATTAACTCTCTTAATTAACTCTCTATTTTGCACATTTTGTTTTAGAAAGGGAATGTATTTTTTAAAGAAGATCTCCGGGTTATAGTTCTTTTTTTTTCTTTTCTGGCGTCCATGTGACTCTCTTCAAATTTACATTTGTTTTGTATTTGGCTGACCAAATAGAGTGCCCAAGAATCGAAGGATTTGATCAGTTTAGCGTCGCTTTGACGGTGTGAAAGAGATAATTATTAGCCAAGAACCAACAACTTCGACAAAACTTACACAGGTGTAGCAAATTTGATGCCTGTTACAAGGGCGGCTGAACGCTTGCTGGTAGCCGTTGGCACCCAGTCCTCTGAAACCTTCAATGACGCTGCAATCATCCACTAGGTAGTTAAGAATAGGGCATACTTTTGCTTCGGCGGCTGGTGAAAAAGACAAGTCGATGTAATAATGGTGGTTTAGTTGAGAATAGATGAACAATAAATTTTGATTTAAAAAATATTATTTATCAATCTTGAGATCAGATTAGTTGAACATTTCTTGAAAGCCCTCTCTACCTGAATACACATAGGCCAGGAATAGAGCCATGATTCTGTATAACAGGGGGGGGGGGGGTTAATCCCAGAAAAGTCAGACAGACAAGCAAAACAGTCAGAACATCAAAACGTTTGCAATGACCTTTCGGAGCCTCTAAAAGTTTAAACCGTCGTAAACCCACTATAAGGTGGCGGGGCACTTTTTGCGTAGGTAAATTTTACAAGATTGGTTTTGTAAAGGGGCACTGGCTCAGTTGTGCCCCAACCCCTATTACATTGGCCACTGCCGTACACTGTGAGGAAATCTGGTATTCATGTGTGCTATTATTGTGTAGAGCGCTTAGAGACTTCTGCATAGGAAGTATAAAGCAGGGCTCCCACTTAGCCGAGTTGGGGCCTCGAGTTGTGGCGAGCTGGCTCGATCTTATGGCAAGCAATTTTATCATTAAAACATATTTCTTGATATCAAGAATTCAATTCTTGATATCACGAAATCGAATTCCTGATACCACGAAATCGAGTTTTGATATCACGAATTACCATTGCTTTACAACATAAAAATATTTCTTGATAACAAGAATTGATTTCTTGATATCAATTAATAATAAAACGGCTTGCCATAAGATCGCGCCAGCTCGCCACAACTCGAGGCTCCAACTCGGCTAAGTGGGAGCCCTGCTTTAGGCGCTATATAAGCAAGGATAATTATTATTATTATTATTATTATTTCCCTCACATTTCCTTACCGAATGATCACAAGCGGTAGATTCTCGCCTCATTAATAATAGGTATACAGTTATAATTTAGTTATCAAGGGTAATCCAACCCTAGTAATAAGAATGAAAGCAGAAAAATCAGAGAAACGAAATGGTGAAAGTTTGAAATATGAGATTAATACAGCTATGCGAATCTCAAATTCGAAACTTTGAGAGTAGATTGTGACGTATACAAAAATATCCATAATTTTCTTTTTCCCCCAAAGTACCTTCACCTTCGGGGAATGCTAAAAACATATTAGGATGGTATATCATTACAGGTCCTCTATAATAGAAAATACCATCCCGAATCAAACACATTTAAAAATTGACATTTTAGTCATGTTGTGTTTTAGAACAAATGTCATTACAGTGACTTTACCGATTCACCCAATTTGAATTTCCCATAACTTTCTTTATTTTTGTCAGATTTTGTTTGAACTTTCACCATTCCGTTTCACCAACTTTTTGCTTTCTTTTAGATTTTTTTTGCTATCAAGTTAGGATTTCTCTTTAATATTTCTATCAATATAACGACCATTGTGTTGAAGAAAACAAAATGAAAGTACGTGTTGCCTTATATATACAATGTGTTAATATCCACAATTGCATACGAGCACATGCTAACTGTCAACAGATGCTAAAGAAGGCTAATTAGAATGGTCAGTCTAAATGTATTTGATACGATTTTAATTTTGTTTCCTTTACAAAACGTACGACGAATCCTTATATATGGCCTTTAAAGGCTTATGTACTAACACTAACGCTTATGTCGCAAACACTTTCGAGAAATCAACTCGAGGTCAATTTCAATACCTTAGTGTACATCCCATAATAATCATGTTCGGGTTACGTAATACGTCATTGTAATGTTCACACATTTCATAGGTGATATACGAGGAGCCCATTGATTTTTTTCGAAAGCCTGTGCAATCGTGGTATAAATCTATGAAATAGAATACCGAAGTGTGACGTCATATTAGTCAAATGTTGTCATAAACAATGGCTTGGTGATCACACAAAGCGAAGAACAATGAATTTGCCCTGCTCCAGTCCGTTGCTGAATGATGTCGCGGTGAACCTCATGCGAGGGTTCTTTCGTTTGGAACAAGTATTTTGGACGACGAGCGAATATGACGTAAGCACTTTGGTACTCTATTAGTTCACGGTAAACTACACGGTGAAAGTTTCAGACCATACGGGCATCAAGCCTACAGAATATTTATTTTCTTATAACCTAACTTTAGGCTAAATGGTTAGATATAGGATTAGGATTTACATGGAACGATTTCCTTGATGGCGTTGATGAGCTCCTCATCACTCAGCAGATCCTCGTTCAGCTCCATGATCGACGATGACGACGTATCGACGTCCTGATCGACGAAACTACTTGGCCCGTCTTCCATGATCTCGTCGATGACTTCGTCAGGTATCGAGCTCGATTCGTCTGTGATTGGTCGCTCGTTAAAGTATCCATCGGAACTTTCAGCTTCCTCGTCATCATCGTCATTATCATCGCCCTCGTCGATTTCCTCCTCCTCGATCTCTTTCATGATTTTTGATGAAAGTTCGTCGACCTGGTCCCGAATCTCCCCCATCAGATTATTCAGCAGATTGTCTTTATTTTAATTGGAAAAAAAAATGATGATAATAATGATGATGATTAGATAACTGTTTTATTGAAATTGATTTACCAGTAACAACGTAACCGACCAAAGTGCTGACAGCCTTCCAGCCAGCCGCCCTTTTTGTGGATGAGCACTTGCATGGTAATCCAATCACTCGACTTTCGTTTCCTATAGCCACTTAACACCTGGATGGAGGGCAGGAATGTAGATAAAATGCCTTACTCAATGACGTATGTGCCATGCCGGGGATTGAACCCAGGACCTTTTCATTCCCAGTCGAGTGATTAGACCACTCGACCACAACACCAAAATTGAATTATTAAAAGAGAAGATCAGAATTATCCGATTACTTCACCAGAATAAAGAAAATGTTGACGTTTAGGAAATATATCAAACCGTTGTAAATATGAATTTCTCTGATGTATAAGTTATAAATTGCCGGATTTATTTTGATGAAAGAGCAGAGGATAAGAATCTACTATAATGCGTATTTAATTCATTTTTGACGAAATCTTTGAAGTTTGAATATTTCTACGGTGCTACGATACTTGACACTGATCAAATGTAAATCTTCAAAGCAAATTCGATGCGGAGTGCCCCAAGGGTCCATATTGGGTCCTTTACTTTTCTTGGTTTATATAAACGACATCATTACTTCTTCTAAACTCTTACAATTTATTCTTTTTGCAGACGACACCAGTGTGTTCATGTCTGGAATTAATATGAACATGTTATTAGATACATTTACTGTCGAATTATATATTGAATGATTGGCTGTTAAATAATAAATTAGTTATAAATATTGATAAAACTCAATTCATGTTATTTACAAAAAGAAAAGTTGAAGATGATAATTTAATTATTCATTTTAATGGACAAGCTATAAAAAGGGAGTTGGTATTATTTATCGATTAAGACTCTTCCCATGGTATATTTTGATTATGTTGTATTATGCTTTGATAATTCCACAAATTAATTATTGTAATATGACATGGTCAAGTGGTTCTGATTATTTTATGACGAAATTAAATGTATTTCAAAAGAAGGCTGTTAGAATAATTTACGAAGCCCCGTTCAATGCCCACACTTTGCCACTTTTCAACAATTAAAGCTTTTAAATGTTTATGATATAAAAAATGTTTATATTGCTATATTTATGTTGATGTGTTCTAAGGGTTTACTGCCAAAGTCCATGTCAGGTAAATTTACATTCAATCATGAAATACATTCTCATGAAACTCGTAATGCTGGTAATTTTCATTTTCCTAAAATCTGTACAAATTTTTCCAAAAATACAATTTTTTTCAGAGGGCCAGTTTTATGAAAAAATATCCCAATTAATATGAAAAACTCTAATTCAATTAATATTTTTAAACCATCGTATAAATTCTATCTTTTATCATTGTATTCAATCTCAATAAATCACGTCACGCTTCAGTTAATGCACTTTGTAATGTATTCCCCCTCCCCTCCTTTTACCCCTTTTGTATTGGTGTTTAGGTTTTCCATGCTTTTCTTTTCTCAACAATACAGTGTATATTTTTTAAGGGGTTGACGTTCATAAGGCTAATTGCCCTTTTTGTTAACCCCACATTCCCATAAAATTTTGTTTGCTCCTTCCCTTTGTATTGTTCTTGTTTTCGATCTTTATCTGTATATCATGTTTGTACGTTTGAATGTTGTTTTTTTATGCAGAATAAAATAAATGAAATGAAAGGAAATATTCTCGGGTTATTCTATTATCATAATGAATTCCTATTATTGCGTAACGTCATGACAAATAGAAAATTTCAACTCACAGAAAACATTATCATTATTTATTTTTTACAAACCTTCATCATCAGTGATTGATTCCTCCTCCTCAGAATCCCCTGCCTCCATAATGGATGATTCCATGGACGTATCAGGTTCAGCGTCCTCGGTCCCGATCATAGACTCTACCAATTTCTTTCTTAGGGTATCTTGTACTATTCTGTAGATGATGTCTTTGAGTGTTTCTTCTTTTTCTTCTTCCGTTAATGGTCCTACCAACAAAAATCAGACGTTGTACATGTTAGCAACTATCAACCTAGATCTATGTTTACATGAATATCATAATGAGACGAGATTTTGCAAGCACAAACCCTTGCCAGTCGTTACATGAAATACTCCTGACACACCAGACACACCAACGAGACCGACACCAAACCGACGATAGAACGAACCAACAACTATATTGCCCATATTGGCCAAAATTAAATGGGTAAGGGATCGGGTTTGAGTCGGTTACACGTTGTGACTGAGGTATTCGAGAGAATCTTAATTTGAACACTTTGTAGCCTGTACCTGTATGGTAACTCCTTTTGAACCAACCAGAGACTGAACAAAATTGACCAGGCTCATGACTTAATGACTTCGTGTTTGTATATCAAATAGAGTTAGTGCCTGCATACTGCCTAGGGGCTGCATATTCATCTGCAATATTATTGAAGAGGGATATGCTTTTTAGTATTGGATTACGTATACGAGATGCAACCGACCTGCTTCGCTGAACTCAGATGCCTCGTCGTCTTGTAGGAGACTAGTCAGATCTGACGTATCATCAAAGTCGGGCAGTGATTCGCTGCTTTCTGCATCCTCCTCCTCCGCGTAGCCTTCTTTCAGGATCCCCTCCGCTTCGGCCAACGCCTCCAGCCCCGCCTCGCTCACGAAAAAGTCATCGGCTTCGATTTCAATGTCGGAGCTCTGGGAGTCCTCGTCGAAGGTTTCTTTGGAGGCCGACGATGCGCTGAAGATCGGCAGATCAAGCTCTTGGGGTTCGTAGACTGCGGCTTCGTCTTCTGACGATCCCACGGAACTACTCGAATCAAAGATGGCGGCTGTATGGAGAAGAAAGCAATGAAAGTACAACATGAAAGAATGAGAAAGATTCATTTCGGGTAACGATTTAGTTTCTCGTAAGAGATTGATGGATGACTTGGGCTGAAAGTCATTTGTCAACCTGACAGAAGAACGGTTTAATTTACGAGTGCGAATGCAACAAAACCCATCTAACCTTATCATCCTGCAAACATCATTTATCTACGTTAATTTCTCTCTATGATATTATGGTATCAGAGCTACATACAAGTCAGTGTCTATGTTAATTGCATCATAAATCACTGATACCGAATTTGGTCGAATTACCAATTATTGTGTGCACTGGTCTATCACGCAGCGAACCAGGTGTCCCATCGTATAATACTCGAGCTATTAACAGCGTTTGAAAACTGTGTTTAATACAAATACTGATTCTGGCCTCAGGAATGAGCTAGTCAAGTAGTGCACACAATATTATACATGCTTACGGCATCCAATTTGATATGTCATTGTCTTCTTTATTATAATCATTTACCAACGGCATACATAATTAATTGACATGCTTTAATAAAGGGGCAGTGATTCATCACAGACAGAGAGAGAGAGAGAGAGAGAGATAGAAACAAAAACGATCGATAACTTCAGTTCAGATTCATAATTAGCCCATTAACAAAGAGGTGCCAAGAGGACTTCTAATGAAAAGTCAATTAATTGCCAACGTAATCAAGCTCGTAGATAGAGATACCACGTATTTTCGTTCAATTAAGGCCGTGGTGAATAATTATTTTCTGATCGGGTAAGGAAAGCGTACTCTCTATTGATCTGGCAGTACGGAGAGATTACCAAGACTAATAAATAAATAAATAAATTACCATTTTAATGTATAATGCCATTATAATGAGGTCGTAAAGTGGGCCCACATCTAATCATCTCGTTAGACCAATTTACAAAGCAAACGTTTATATTCACCGCTCTTAGCAGAATGCTTTTGATGAGGAAAGGAAACATATTTATCACGCGACGGCTGATTTTTTAGTACTCTACGGATGCTATTAATTCCCTACTTAATGACATATTTGTGCAGCAGTATACCATGATTATCATTGTCAAGGTTGTTAAACTTGCTTAACGTAAAGGGAAACTGCATGTTCATCTTAAAAAATGGAAACCATAGTGTAGTTTAAAAGGTCGTACTCATTTTCCTTATCCTTCATCCACTTATGTTCACATTCACGATTCTAACGTTTTTACTATTATAATATGGAAGTTATAAAATTTGTAGAACGCCTATGAATATATATTTTTTTTATTTCCTTGTTGACATGAAGAAGCAATAAAAGTTTGAAATATAAAGAAAACAGATCGTTAGAGTCTTGTTATTCTTCAACAAGACATCAATATATTTGACCCTATTATTATCTTTAATCAAGAAAGTTACCATGGAAGATGACAACTAGACCCAGTGTGTTCTGAACAACAGATTATTGGGCTTATTGGAGATGTCATGATATGCTTTTGAAGTTAACAACTATATGCATTTTACATTGTTCAGTCGTTTTTTAATCATTTGATTAAACAAAATGGTGTTATTGATTTTATGATATAATTATTATGTTCTAAACGAATGAGCCGAAAATATTCGTCTTCTAGTGCCTTAATTATAGAATAGCCGACCGAATCCTGCTTTGAGGGGTTTATAAAGATGTACATGTATGTATTTCTACATTTAAGGTGTTTTTTCCCTTAAGTAAAGGCAACACTTGATAGTACATTGTTTTTGTTTTAAAAAAAAGAAAGGGGCAGTAGATAAACCAGCAGCTTTTCGTGAATGGTTGCTCTGATCAAAACACCTGCGTTTCGTACAGAATTGGCTCATGTTTTGTCAGGATTATTCTCATCGTTTTTTTCTTAACAATTACCAATATGTCCACTGTTTGCTGAAATAACATACGAGATTCAAATTTCAAAAAGGTAACACATAGGTATGTTTCAATTGGATTTTACTCCTTTTAAAAGTACATGCCCTAGGCTATTCATTAATGCAGAAAATGGGGAACGTCATACCAAGATCATCAAAACCCTCTTCCTCATCTTCTTGCTCCTCCATCAGTTTGGCGATGTTCTCTTTCTCATCCTGCTCGAGCAGTTTCTCCGCCATCACGTCCCCAAGAATCTTGTTAAAGAGCTCTCTCTGCCGTTGCTTCTCATACTCCTTATACTCGTCCAAGATCGCCTCGGCAAACGCCACCTCGTTCGTCTCCAGATCTTCAGGCCGTGGATCGTACAGGTCCTCGAGGTCGATCTCGTCCATATTCCCGGCGTCGTCGTCCCACTTCTGGTACGGGACGCCGTTGCCGCCTTCCAGTGACATCGGGATTCCGTTGCCGTACCTCGGGTACTGGCCGAAATCGTCGGTCTCTTCGGCGCCACCGTACACATCCGGAAGATTGCCGCTAGGTTTCCTGGATTTGGCCTGTTCGTATTGCTCTAGGAATTCCAAGGCGTGCAGCAGGTCGGAGTCGGACTCGAGTGCAGAAGGGGGTTCGTTGGGGCTGTACTGTCTGGGAGGCGGGAGTCTGTGACCTCTGAAAGCTTCGACGGGACAGGACGAGAGCGCAAACGCAGCTAGAAGGATCGGTAGGAAGATGAGACGGTTTAAGTAGCGCATCAGTTCCATCTTGCCGAAGGTTATGTACTCAGTTCTGGAAGAAACAAAGAAAAAAACGAAATTATAATGATTTTCCAAAAATCTTCTACAATGAAGAACAAAAATGATCTAAACAATCCAAATCTATTGAATGAACACAGGACGAGGGCGCACACGTACTTAGAAGTATTGGTAGGGACAGAAGATTGTCTAGGAAGTGCATCTGGGCCCTGTTTCATAAAACATGATATCAATAACAAGTTACAAGCTACTGTTATAAGCTACTGAAATCCTGGCATCTGATTGGCTGAGAGCAAATTTGTCATAGAAATTTAGCATTTGTTATAGATAACAAGTTTTATGAAACAGGCCCCAGATCCATCAAATCCAAGATGCTGAAGTTATCTGCTGAGCTCTGGAGGGAGAGGGGGAACCGTTAAGTAAATTATTTGCATTAGTGTTCTACAATAACAAAACAAAAAATTAAAAATTCAGATGATTTAAATGTCGGCGATTTATTGAAGAATTTGTCCCGTTGGTAGGAAAAGAAGGAGGTTCGAGGAACGCAGTAGTTCCTTGATGTCAAAGCTCATGGGGTGAGATCTGAATGAAAATATACAGAAAGAGACAATAGACTTATCTTCGTAGATCTTGTAGGGCCTCTACGATGAAATAGAAAATAACCACCAAGGAATGATCGCATGGCCTTATAGACGATTTTAGTTCTTATTGACTGTGTTGGAAGCCATGGGCGCGATGACATTGTGACGTAATACAATGTCAATTTTGCACGGAAGAGGAAACAGGTACTTCTTTACTTCTTCCAATGAAAAAGAAAGCATTAGCCTATCGACTCTAAGAAAAATAACACATGTGCTGGTAAGTCATAAAATCTTCCCTACCTTCCAAACCTCTCTACCCGCTTCTTTCTTCCCCAGCTCTTTATCTCTGTCTTTAAGTTATCTTTCTCTGTTCTTAAATTGATATTAGATTTTAAGTCTGAAGTGGAATGTAATTCTTCTATCTATTACTGCTTCTTAATATCAAATTTGCGGATTACGTGAGATGTAACTCGTTCAGAGTATGACACCCCGATATATAAAGTGATTTACCTACAAGAACGGTTACAAGGGTGACGTCATAAACATAACTTTCACATGCGCATGATAATGAATGCTAACGATCAAATATGAAAAGGTCTATCGTGTTCTCATTCCTGACAAAAGTAACTACTGTTTTTGTTTTACTAATATAACAATTTTCACGACGCTTCACGTGCATTCAATAGATTCAGAATTTGATCAACCCACTGTTAGCGGTTGTCTTCACAAGACAGTGAAAGTATTAAAAACATTCCGAATATAGCTTTATGTCGAAATGATATTAAAGTGATAAGGAGCAAATATGAACAACAGAGAAAGTGTCTATCGTGTACCCACTCCTGTGAAATTGATTACTTTTTAACAGATAGAACAAATTCCATACCGTGTGTGTGTTCAGTAGATGTAAATGTTGATCCACTCGCTATGCGCGGTTGTATCCACAAGAGTGACGTTAAAAGAGCGTACCATCACATTGGAAAGACACAGTGATGGAATCCGCATATGAATGACTGGGAAGATGTTCGCGATGCACTCACTTTTTTAAACAGTGATTAGTATTAAACCGAGAAGACAAGTTCCACAACGCTCTATGTGTAGAGTCAAGACTATAAACGTTAATCACCTCCGCATGCGCGATTGTATCCACTAGACTGAGCTTTTTAAGAACATACATTTACATGTATATGATGAGTGATGATACTAACATCCCGATCTTAATGGAGAAAAAAAATATCCATCTTGAACGCAGCCATGTGAAAATCGGTCCTTTTTTAACTGACACGCTTTATTGAATACAATAACACGATGAATGGCTTGTAGCTGTCTTGTTTGATGACTGTACATCATGAATAGTAGCGCGCCGTCATGTCAGCGACCGGCGGTCTTGTTCTTTACGGATGCTCTCATTGGCTGATGCGCACAGGGTCACGTGACCTACGCCAATTACGCCGCGAGCGTCGAGACAATGTAATGACGAATGCTTAAAAATAGTGACCAAGCTATGAACCTTCTGGCAAGATTGTGATGTTGTTGTTTTTTTCTTCATCTACGGGGTTGTTATTAAAGTTTACGTTTCCATTGACGTGTGACCCCCCCCCCCCCGCCCCCTCCACCAACCACGAAATAATAAATGAATAATAATAATAATAACAATTTTTTTTTTTTAGTGAAAGAAGATTGATAGTTCTTTTAAGATATCCTATGCAGGAAAAGTAAGGCTTTACCCTTTTCAAAATTTTACATTTCGGGATTTTAACCATTTGCTCTTCTGATTTCCCAGAAAAATCATCGTCGTGTGAAAGTTATTAAGTACATGATGAAGCTCAATCAGTGCTTATTCGGAGTGTTACGTAACCATTAAAGGGAAACGTGACTTCCGGAAGCGTTCAATGGAATGATTGGGACGTAATTGATTGAAGACAAGTATTCGTAAAGAGGAGGGACTAAAGAAATTCTTAATTTCCTGGTTTGTGTTTGTTTGTTGTTGTTGTTGTTGTCGTTGTTATTGTTGTTATTGTTGTGTGTGTATTTTGTTTTTTTGGGGGAGGGGGGGGGGGTGAGGGGGTCCTGTTTTAATTTTGTGTGCATCAAATCCACTCCACTCCTCTGCTAAAAGAGTCAAATAAATTGTAATACATTGGGAAGCCATTCACAGGTAAGCATTGCTAAGGAAGGTCAAATTAAATATTTAATTAAATCCGCCCTCGTTGATCCTCGATGAATCCATCCAAATTAAACTGTTTGGATGGTCAGAGAACATTGAAATTGGTTGGTTCCATATTAGCTCCCACGCATTTACTTCCGACTTTAGCTGTTGCCATTTTTATGGGTCATTGTCGCTATGATAATGAATTACTTTTTGTTAAAGTAATTTTTTCCTACTTTGACTAATTGCCTCTAAAATGGTAAGGAATTCTTTAAGGTATCCTCTCCGTGAGCTTGGTATTAGAAATTATGGTTGATATTAGAGAGAAAATAGCAAATACTTAATAGATATGCATAATATTCTATGGGCTGTGCAGCAATGGCGATTTTTGTTAGGGGACAGAAATGTTATGAAAATCATATTCACTGGGAAGCTAAGTGCATGTTGTGTACATATGGTTACGTTGTCAAAATGGAGTCTGCTAGCTCGATTCTAATTTTGATTTTTGTTTTTGTTTTGTTGATTGTTTTTATCTTGCATTGCTTATCACTCAGATGAAATACAATTTCTACCAAACCGTTTTGCAGAAATAATTTTTCTTTATTTCCTTCAATGTCAGTTTCGTTTGAATCTGTCAGAATTCATTTCAGCATTACCAAAAGCTGAGTTTTACTCTGTAAATAAAGACATTTCTTTTCAACAGTTATATTATTAAACATTATAATACTATTATGTACCATACAAGGCTAAAGGACGATCCTACTCAGTCAAGAGCTCAAACACCCCGTCAAACACACTTAGATGGATTTTAATATTACATTTCTTTGCATCCTTTCCGTACGGCAATCAATATCTTTAACTTCTCTTAACATTTTATAAAGGAGAGCCCTTTTCGTTTAACCCGTCCTCTTGAAATCGTTAATAAGCCGATGATGCAAAGACGGTAAGAAGCCGAATATTGAGGAAGGTACTTTGTGCCTTCGGGTAATTTTCTAACCCCAAAACAGAAACAGGGTCAATACATATTCAAGGACCATCCAGATTTTTTTCCCGATTATCCCTCCAGTCCCGATATTAAGAGCAAAATAGAAATATGACTCCATCTTTATTTACACAAACAAGTAGCATATTTCCATACCGTTACAAGATTCTGTTACAAAATACATGACCCCGAAATGTTACTCATATTAAAAAAGTATGCCTTTAACTATTTTTATTCCCTTCATCCTTCCCTATCCTCTATCTCTTTCTCTCTGTCTCTGTCTGTCTGTCTGTCTGTCTCTCTCTCTCTCTCTCTCTCTCTCTCTCTCTCTCTCACACACACAGACCCCTGTCTCCCCCCCCCTGTCTGTTCGTTTTCTCTCTGTTACTCCCCTCCCTTTCTCTATACATCTCTACCATTCTCCCCTGCCACTGGAAGTCGCATAGGTCGTGTGGTTCCCAATGTGCCCACCATGGCAATGTAAAGTGAAGGGATCCTGTATAATAGATGCCGATCTGTCAACGATCAATAATTGATTAGACTTGTCTGCAGGATCATGGCTCAATTGCCACAGTCACGTACCACCAACGCGATGCACCGGTGGGGGGGGGGGGGGGGGGGCAGATGAGCACCCCTACCTATAATTTGTTGAAGGCGCATCTCTCATATCCTGCTCGTATACAAATCTACCACTACTGAATACTCAACACGACAACGCACATACAAATACGTTAGGCTCGAATGAGGTGGACGCCCCCTTTGCTTTGGAATACTGGATCCGCCATTGTGCACCCTACATCAATTCCTATGTAATTTTTTTTAAATCATCCGCCGATGCATGCAGTTTTCAATATGCTTCATCACCATTCATTGGATCCCAGTTCAGAAGAAAACTAACTGTAACATTTTGAAACAAACCGAAGCAGACCTGAATTATATCCCCCTCAATTACGGGTACTCCTAACGTATTTCCCTCGGCTGCATTTCAAATCAACCTGACAGGTTTTCTTTAGTTATTTCATTTTAATTCTTGCAGCATTCTAACACAGATACCTCATTTAAAATGAATAAAGTAAAGAGCTAGGGAGACGGGAAAGAGAGAAAGAGGAGAGAAAAAAGAAATAAAATGGAGCGTATACACTTTGATTGGGGTATAGGAACACTCAAATAATAAAACAAAAAGGTCTTTTCTTATGAAGTTTTTTACACAAACTATTACATGTCACATGATATGATCCGTTATCTGGTTGAGATGTGAACTCATTGCACAGCTTACTGCTTTTGGTAAGCTAAGATTTACCTAATACAGATCACTTTCAAAGTGTAAATAACCTATATGCCCATTAAGGCTCGTTCAAATTGTGATGCTATAAATCACCGCAAAAAGGGAACAACCGCCTTGCTGTAATTTATGCGCCCATAAAGGTTACATGCACTTAGCTCCGTGTTTTAAGATAGAAAGATAATTCTTATCCAATAAAAATAAATATAGCACATACATATATAATCAAAATACAACTTACATTATTGGTAAGATCCAAAACCATTTTCCCAATGTTTTGTACGAATAAAATTATTTTAGACGTTTTGTAAATAGAACGAAAAACTAGGTCATGAAATAAACAGCAATTCTATTTACTTATTGAACGTGTTAAAACTCCCAATTGATGCACATAATATTATGTCAATAACACGTGTATTTAATACCTAACTTGGCTGCTACTAAGAGTTCATTTCAATGAGGTTTTGAAGTAAAAGGTAGGCTCAAATAAAGTCATTATTTGAAATCAAAAGAAATATGTCTAGATTCCAGTAGGAGGTATAATTCACTTTGTAATTGGTTTTAAAAAGGAAGCTTAAGCTTTAAGATGAAGTTGAGTTCTGGGCATTCGATTGCATTGTGAAAGAAACGTTGTGGAATTGACCAGAAAAGGTTGATCATCTAGCATATAAGTATTGTGTGTACTGCAAGGTTCTGGAATCATCAAAAGGATTAGAAATTTGTCCCAGTCTTGGTGAAGTTACAAGCACTGTACACAGAAAGATGTATATGGGACTACACGAACATGTGGCATAAAATCCGTCCCGATTTGTATGATGTTACATGCCTATTTAGAATATTAAGGCATTTGAATAGCCATGCTTTTCAGGAAACATGTTTTATCTGATGTTCTTCCACACTTGCATCATACAATGATAACGCTCACATATTATTTTTCACCTCTTCCCAGAACTCGACCTTATCTTTATTTGGAAGGCGTCAGGAAGAGATGAAACCCTAAATCATTTGCGTCAAAGTCTTCAACAACATTTATTGTAGGTTTTCTTTTGTGCCATGTGAGCATATTAACATGCTTGTTCGGAGTAGACCGTCGCAAAAAAAAGAAGAAGAAGAAGTGTATTAAAATGAATGACAACTGCGAACTTCGCGCAACAAAGGAATTACTCGTTTTCATTTAGCTATCTGGTACAAAATAAAGAAAAGCAAAGCGGATTACACTTTACGCCATCATGATTGCAAAATGAAAATCCACCATCAACAGTGAACACATATTTCAACTCCTACGTATTCTTGATGATAACAAATTACCTCAAGCGCTGCCATACAAAAATAATTATAGTCAAAATTGAAAATTGAAAAAAAGACATATAATAAATCTGATAATCGTTATTTTAGGGCAAATGTTCTTCAATACGTGTAATGATGTCTTGTGGTAAACTGGACACATCTTTGCACGAATTAATCCGCTGTTCAAAATCCCAAGAGGTGAAGAGAATCGTTACACGAAGCCGTCCAAAGTACGGGTTGTGGGCGAACTTGTACGGTTTCGTGTGACGATGCCCTGCAGATCTGTAACAAGATGAATAGGTCACGTGATGGATTTGCTCAAATGACAGATCGATACTGCGTTGGTATCGACCTGTGATTTAGTGATCACGTGACCTCGTTTTAGTAATCACGTGACCTCTTTTAGATTTAATCGAAATAGGCCTGTATTTATATTTAGCTTTCAAATCTGTCACTAAGAACGAATGAAGGTTGCATGGCATGAAATGACGCACTAAATAACATTTCAAATGTGTGAAAATGTGGTGACGTCGTTGCAATTTGTATTCTAGATTACGTTAAGTTAGAAACACACACTTATACACACGATGACTATTTTTCTGTCTCTCTCTCTCTCTCTCTCTCTCACTGTCTTTCTTTGTCTC